TTACCTTTCTTTTTTGCTTTACGTTTTTCACGTTTCTTAGCTGCAGCTTCTTTTTTAGTTTGTTCACGTGATTTTTCTGATTCAATTTCTTTTAGTAGATTATTTGCTGCTTTATTAGCTTCAGCTGCTTGACGTTCTTTTGCTGATATTATTTGATCCATACATGTTTGACATTTTTTTAATAAATCCTTTTTAATAGAATAAATTTTATTTTGAAGAAAAATATTTTTATGAATTTTCTTACTTTATCAGTTATTGTACCTATCAATCGACGACAATCTGTATCTGAAGGAAATTGTCGAACTTGTCTTACTAAATATTTGACAACTTTAATATGTCCTTTACGAAATGCAGCCATTAAACAAGACACTTTTCGTGAATCACTGGAATCTGGATTTGCAAAACGAGTTATTAGTAATTGAACAACTTCTAAATGGCCACCATTACATGCAAGCCATAAAGGTGTAGCACCTTTTTTATTTCTAACATCAATTGTGGCACCATAAAGAAGTAATAATTCAACAAATTTATGATGACCTTTATCAGCAGCGATGGTTAAAGCTAAAAATAAGAAAATGAATTTAAATTAAATATTTCAATTACAGTTTAATTTTACTGTATAGAAAAAGATCAGATTTCTATGAATCATTGATATACTATTTTGTGCTGAATAGAATAACGTTATGTTCAGTAATATATTGTTTACATGAAATTATATTTCTCGAAATACTTTGTTGTCTATTTAAGCTAAGTAGTACATTAACTATTGATAGACACCAGATGTTTATTCCTGGAATCAAGAATCTCAATAAAAACTTTTAAGTTAGATCTCGATACAATCTGAGTCGAATTTTCTCTGTTAGTTCTGTTTTCAAAAAAAAAGTTACATACCAGTATCTTTCGATGTTGGTACTGGTAGTGCATTAACATCAGCACCTCGTTCTAATAGAACTCGACCAACATCAACATAACCACCCGATGCTATAAGAAAGAATAATTTGTATATTTATGTAATAGATATAGAAACGCTTTTTTTTCTTACCAGATTCCATAAGAGGTGTAAGACCTGTTTTAGCTCTATGTTCAATATTTGCTTTACGATCAACTAATAATGAAACAACTTCAGCTCGTCCTTGAAAACAAGCTAAAGTCAGTGCGGTATTGCGATTTGTTTCAATCTGAGCATTTATATCAGCACCCATATCTAATAGAAGTTTAACAGCAGCAACATGTCCATTCATTGAAGCAAGCATTAATGGCTAAAAAATCAAAAACAATATACAAATCTTATCTATTTCTATAAACTACTTACAGTAATTCCTAATTTACTACCAGTCCTATTAATAAAAAATTTAGATAAATAAATAAATAAAATAATAAATAAAAACAAACCTCGAGTTAATCTCCGCACCATAACTTAATAATAATTTTATAATAGTTACATATCCTCCAGAAGCAGCAAGACTTAATGCTAAAAGAGAAAATAAAATATTGATTTGTATCGATAATAAAATAGTCAATATACCAGTGTAATCTGAAACATTTCGATGTTCACGATTAGCTCCATTTTTTAATAAAACTTCAACAACATCTTGTCGTCCACCACTACATGCTAATGATAATGCAGTATCTTTTGTTCTTTCAGATTGAGCTTCAACATTGGCACCATGTTCAATTAATCTTGATACAATATTTGCATGACCAGCAGTTGCTAAAAGTAAATTATCGATTATAATAATTAAAGCAAGATAACAATAAGATTTACCTGCAAGAATCAATGGTGTAAAACCTTTTTTATCACGATGTTCAATGTTTGCATTACGTTGTAATAATAAAAGAACAAGTTCTTCATGACCACCAGCACACGCTAATGTTAATGCTGTATCATGATTTGATTCCGTTTCACAATCAACATCAATTCGATTTTGAAAACGTAAATGAGATAATGTTGTTGATGATGAATTTGTCAATTGAGATGAATATTCAGCACAACATACTGAATGTCGAGCAGTCGTTGAAGGTGATGGTGGTGGAGGTAAATCAGTTGTTTCTATAATGAGATTTTGACGTTGTTGTGAAGATATAACAATTGCATCATGATCAATACTTTTTTCTCCTGTTGTTGTCTGTTGTAATGTTCTTAATTGTTCAATAAATGGTTTTTGATTAGCAATTTTTTGTATTTCTTTTATTAAATCAGGATTATTAGCTAATGTTTGTATACGTTCAAGTGCCGATGGATTACTTGCTAATTGTCTTAAATGTTCAAGTGCTTTCTGTGTATCTGTATTAATACGCATAGGAATTTTTGTTGGAGTCGATTCCGTTGAAGATGTTGTTGTTGTTGATGTTGATGATATTAATTTCAGATTTTTTAAATGCATATTCATTTCATCTAAATGTGTCTGATTATCATGTACATGTTGTTCTAATCGACGATCATATTTTGATAATTGTCGATTTAAAGATTTTTTTATTTTTGAATGATGATGAGATGTTTGAATAGATTCAATCGAAGATGGAGAAAAAAAGTTTATTGTTTGAGATGGTATTGGTAAAATAGATGAAGATATTTGATCATCATGTTTCGATGATGATGATGAACTTGATGTTGATGATGATGAAGTTGTACGTTTCTTTTTAGTTGCTATTAGTGGATTAGATGTTGATGTAGGATTTGAATTTATATATTCAGTAACTTGTTGCCGATATTCTTGATTAAGTTTAAGATGTTGTTGAGCTTTATCATGTAATTCTTTTTCAACATTTTGAAGTTGTTCTAATAAATAAAGTTTTTTAGCTTGATCAGTACTCGTTGATGATGTTCCATCATTTGTTGATAATGGTAATCGATCTGATATATCTGTAGTATTATTATCCATATATAATTCATTAGAATCAACTTCAACAGTTTTTAATACTTCAAGAATATTTCTTGGAACAATTTTTTCTAAACGTTCAAGTAATGTAAATGAGGAATTATTTATCTCAGATAGTTTATCATCATTTCCTCCTAATTTTAAACTTGATTCATTTAATGGTGGTGATGGTAAAGGAAACGAATTTGGCATTGTTACTGTTAAATTTTCTTCATCATCATCATCATCATCGTCATCTTCATCTTCATCTTCATCATCTTCATTTGTTTTAATTGGATTTATTGTACAATTTAAAATACTTTTTGGATATTCTAATAATAGTTGAACAATAGCTGTATGACCACCTTTAGCTGCTTCAATTAAACAATTCGAACGATCTTTAAGTAGATGATTTGGATCTGCACCATTTAGAAGTAAAATTGTTGCTAATTCAAAATGTCCACCAGCACATGCTAATGAAAGAACAGTTGCATCATTTGTAATTGTTGATCGATTAACATCGGCTCCTTTCGATATTAAATATCGTACTGTACATATGTGTCCTGCTCGTGATGCTTTCATTAGAGGTGTTCGTCCTTCATTTTCAGCGTCATCAATATGTGCACCAGCATTAAGTAATATCTCTGCTACTTCCGTATGTCCACTTTCACAAGCATAACCCAATGCTAAACGAAAAAACGAATTATTCTTATTATGAATTAATCGAGTTTTACTAACCTGTATCTCCAGCTCGAGTTGTTTGATTAACATTTGCACCTTTCAAAGAGATGAAATTCATTAAGAATATATAAATCAAAAAAAAGAGATAATGATTATACCATTTTCTATAAGATATGGTACAAGTTCTATATGTCCTTCTTGTGATGCTTCCATAAGAGGAGTTGACTGGCCCAAATTGATATTTGCTCCATTAGATAGAAGAATTTTAACTACATCCAAAAATCCACCAGCACATGCCAGTGTTACTAAATAGATCAAGATATATAAATCGATCTTTTCTTATCTCTTCAATGCTCTTTATAAAAATTCCTATTTTTTCAACAGTGACTTACATGCAGTTTCTTGTGCTTCTTCTGTTGTTCGATTAACACAAGCTCCTAAAAAAATCAAATTCTCTTCAATTAATTCAATAAATCAAAAAATAAGATTATTTACCTTTTGAAACAAGTAAATTAACAATATCATCATGTCCTTCTCTACTCGCTATAAAAATAATTAAATTACAAAAATTTTCCTTTTCAAATAAGTCGAAAAAATCTTCAAACCTTCCATTAATGGTGTATATCCTTCGTCATTAACTTCTTCTAAATTTGCTCCACGTTCAATAAGTAATGAAGCAAGTTCAAAATGACCACCACATGCACTTAATGTTAATGGACTTTCATAACTATCTGGTGGCATATTAACATCTGCACCATGATCAAGTAATAATCTTGCTACTTGAACATGACCATCCATACATGCTTCCATTAAAGCTTTAAAACAAAATATATATTCATTTTCTTATTTTTCCTTCAATTATTTACCTGTATGCATTTCATCAGTTTTATTTCCATTTTCTAAAAAGAAAAAAAGAAAATTATTTTAAATGAAGTTACAAAGCTTTATCATCTTACTATCTTTTGATTGATTATTTGTTCCAGCACCATGATCAAGTAATAATTGAGTAACTTCAACATGTCCACCACCAGCTGCTTCCATCTAATATTGAAATAAATATATATATAATAATAATTATTGTAAACAAAAATTACTAATGGAGTATGACCATTTTCATTAGTTTCTTCAACCTTTGCACCATGTTTGAGTAACAAACGTACAATATCAACATAACCCTTTATTTAAAACAAAACAAAAACATAACATAACTTTCTTGTTTTTTTAAATTTTCTTTCTTACTCCTCCTGCTGCATAATGTAATGCTGTATTCCCTGATGTTGATTGTATATTTACATTTGCTTTATATTTTATTAAAAGTTCAACTATTTCATAATGACCAGCATTACAAGCTTAATTAAAATGAAAAAAAAGGAACATCTAGTATAAACGTATTCTTTTTTTTTGCTTATATAATCAAACCTTCCATTAATGGTGTACAATCTTGTTTATTTCCTCTATCATCAACAGCAATATCAGGTATTGTACGAAGTATAAGTTCAACTAAATCAATATAACCATTTGAACAAGCTAATGATAAAATACTATCACCATCTTCATTAATATCATTTAAATATTCTTTTATATTTTTTGTTTGAAGAATTTTTTCAACTGTTTGAAGATCATTATTTACACATGCACGAAGTAATACACCGGAATCTTTATTTAATAATTTCGATGATTTTTTATCATTTTGTGATATTGCTGATGAGGATGAAGAAGATAAAACATTTGCTATTTCATGTAAACCATTGAAATTATTTGTTACACTACTTGTTAATAAACGTACAACTTGTTGATCACGCCAAAAATCTTCCGGTATTGGAGAATTTGTTATACCAGTTGCTTCAAGTATAGCTGCTAATTTTGCTTGTGTATCAGGATCAATTGGGCCAATATCTATATCATCATTATGATTATTATTTAAAGATAAATGTGTATGAGAAATAAATGGTGATGGTATATCATCTTCATCATCATCATCATCTTCTTCATCACTAGTTTCGTCCTAAAGTAAAAGAAAGATAGATTTCGATTAAAAATATGATTTTGTTTTTTCGCTAAACAAACTTCAATATCTTCTTCTTCGTCGTCTGTCAACATTCTATGATTATGATGTGGATAACGTGTTAAACCAACAGAGATTATTGGAACGTCAGTTAAATCAATTGATGAATCTTGTTTTGAATTATGTTTTAATGTTTGATCAGTTATTGACGATATTTGAGAAGAACTTTTCATATGAAAAACTTAATTGTTCATGCTAAAATTTAGAAGAGAAAATATAGTTAGTTTGTTGTTCAATTATATATATTTTTTTTTATCAATTGGTTACTCGACCTCCTAATGTGAGAAAGAAGAAGAAGAAGAAGAAGCAAAAGAATGGTACAAAAGATACAACAGGAAACAGACATCGAGAAAGCAATGAGATACAAACACAAACAGAAACGAACGAAGAACGGTACGTAAAGTAGAGTAATACCAACAATATTGGACATGAAGATAGTATAATATGGATTGGGAATTGCTTATTTTCTACCATTGACATATTATTAATTTAAGACAGTTGACCATACAGATTTCATTTAAGTTTAATAATCATATTTAAGAAATTAAATCAATTAAATAAACTTCCGTATTCATTAGAAATAAAAAATGTTTGAAAAATCGAATAAAAATTATCAAAATAGATGTCGTTGATTGTCAGTAGATATATTGATAGAGAACTTCAATATATAACTCAAAAGGTGTACTATATTTCATATTGATCAGGAAAAAAGATATGAACTTTTTCACATCTATGCATTTCAATTTTCAACATATTATACAAGTTTCGTATATTTTGCTTTTTCATTTCATTTACATAACATATACAAAATATTTTTTCGCTAAAACAAAAAGTATATTTAAATATCTATCAATTTTACTACAATAACCTTTTATTAAATTGATTATTGTTTCTATTCTCGTCTAAAACTTCCTTTTTACAAATATTGTTGTTTCCTGTCTTTTTATTCCTCATTCTCTCTAATGAAAACTGACAAAAGAGGAATCTAGAATTCAACATGTCTAACCTTTGTATAATCTAATCTATCTCAATAACAGATCAATTAGATTATTGAATGCTAAAAAATTCTAGAACAAGTTATTATTTTTTTTCATCAGTTGAAATTCGTTTATCATAAGCACTTGATATATTCGAAATTTATTATTTACATAGTAATAAAGATAATAATATATCGTAAGTTTGACTTGATCTTATCTCACTTCATATGACAAATTTTATCATCGATAATTCATTCTTGTTAATTCTAGTTTTCATCGAAAACAAAACAAAAATTAATCGTTTCATTCTTCTTCTTTTTCTCGCTTGTTTCATTGTTGTGATTTGACAAGATGATGAAAACATTCCCATAAATACTTAAATATATGTTTGCATAAGAACATATAACACACACATCAACATGAAAAAAGAAAAGTCATTTTTATTTTTTATGTTCTTTACTTCTTTTTTTCTCTCTATTTTATTCATTTAAAATATACTCAACTAGAAAGACAAACATAATTCTGACTCATTTCTTCAATATTGTCTTAAAAGCATTCACACAAGTGAATACAACGAATATAAAACCTTTCTTTCTCCTACTTTTTTTCTTACAATATTAAACGGTAAGAATGACACATATATATATATTTGTACTATTATATTTTTATTCATTTAATACATTAGAAAAATAATGAATCGAGGATTGTGAAGAAAATTCGAATGGTTATATATACTTTGGAATTAGCTTAAAATATAAATACCAATGCTATCTCGAAAAAGTAAATGAAATTTTTTAGATTATAACTCATAAAATTCGACATTACTACAAGGAATAAACTTGTCTCTTGACATTTAACGCTTACTTGTTACTATTTTACACATATTGAATCATGAATAACTCTCTTTTTTTTCGTCTTTGATAGAAACTCAATCAATCGATGAATGTAATTGTTGTCGTCTTGTTCGTTCCGATAAATCTTCTCGTTTAATATTACCATTAGCACGTCGTGGTCGTCCACATCTATCAAATCATTCGTATCGTTTATTATGTCAAAATTGTTTAACTATCAAACAAAAACAACAAAATGAGATTTTTCAACAACAACAACAACATAATGATGAAAACAATTCACAAAATATATTTGAAACAATAACTGATTTAAATAAAACATCTGAACAAGATAATATATCACATGAAATTGAATTTTCATTAATAAATGAAAATGAAAAAATTCATTTAAATAATTCCGAATATGAAACAGAACAAATGCTTATTTGGAAAATGAATACATCTGATAATTATAATCAAACAAATACAATCAATGATACTGGTTCATTAACAAATAATGAAAAGAAAATTTTACTTCAAGAAGCTGTACGAAAATTACAAATTGTTCTTAATAATCCCTCAACATCAACATCAACAACAACAATATCAGAAAGTGATTTAGATCGAATTCAATTTACTTATCGGGCTTTACAAACAACAGTTAATATTCTATCATCATCATTGGATTCGTTGTAATAAATTGTATAGCGAAAGAAAAAGGATAAATAAAAGAAGATTTATCGAAATGAAATTGACTAAGTGACATGAGAAAAAGATTTCATCATAATGCATAAAAGAAAAAACAAAAGTGCAGTATTATATCTCATTTGACATGCATACTGATAAGTAACATTCTCGTTTTTTCTCTCTCTCTCTCTAAAAGACTTATAAAAACATCATAATAGAATATCTATTTGGCTTTGTTTTTCTATCTCGGATCTAATCTATTTTGTACAAGGACATGAATATTCAAGCAAACAGGAAATGATGAACTATCTACCTTGAATTAACAATGACATTCTGTCTAGAATCTAGACATATACACATCAATCTGCATCTATTTTTTTTCTGCTAGAATTCAATGAGAAAGGACATTTTGTATTATTCTTTCTTGACTATAATTGAGTTTGTAATCATTCGGTTAATTTCATTTTAATAAGCTTTTCTCTCTTTTTTTTTTAAAGTAATTCTATTTAAGCTGATTTATATAAAAATTAAACGTCACGGTTTTTTTTGCATCGTTAAATTTATTCCTGATCAAACAAACTTCTAAAAAATAAAAAGCACTAAAAATTAATCAATATTATATGATTAATAAAAATACAATAATAACAAAAAAATTATTGTCATATATGATGCTTGATATTGTGTTTGACCAGTATCAAATAATGTTTGAAATAAATATTGTGCTGATGAATCATGTTGTCGTGGTAGTCGATGTAATTCTTCTTCTACAAGTATTTAATTGTTTATATAAATTATTGATTTTTTTTCTCTACTCACTTGTACGTCGTCTGACTAATATATGGGTTTCTTTCCCATCATATCTACATGTATAATTAGCTTGAAGAAAATTTCGATTTCTTTTATTTAAAGATATTGTAAGACGTTGGGCATTTGATGAAATTGTTTCAATATGATAATCATGATTAGTTTTATTTAATAATTCTCCATTAACAAGCCATATTAAATCATTTAAATTTATTTCTAAATCACATAATAATGAACATGTTAGTGTAAATGTTCGATTAACCGGATAGAGAAGTAAAGGTGATGATGGAGATAAATGTGGATGAGCTAATATTTTCGAAAGAAAAAGAAAAATATTATTAAACATAAGTTATTCTCTATAACATACAATTAACAAGTAATTTTATACTATGTTGACCACTTGAACTTGATTTACATGTATAAATACCCTGATCTTCAGTTAGAACATTACTTATTAATAAACGTGGGATGGATGAGGAGGAGGATGATGATATAAGATTATAACGACCTATTGTTGCATATTCGGAAAATAGAATATCACCAATAGCGATAAGAGTTAAATGTGTTTGAGATGAATTTGGACGAAACCATGAAATCTATAAGAAAATTTATGAAATTTTAATTTTTTTTTCGTTTGAAGGATTATACCACTTCATTTGGACTTTTTATTGAACGTATTGGACATTTAAGTTCAATATCAGTTCCACATGTAACATGCATTGTTGAACCATTAGCTAGATATAGAAGATAAATAATGATGACGATTATATTTCCCTTTAGAATTAATTTCAACTCACTTGTAAATGATAATGATAGTAATACGATCAAATAGACAATGATCAAATCAGAAAATCTTAGAAACGATGAATTGATATTGATGTTCGACATTATAATCGATGAGAGTCTGCAGCATTGCGTCTGAAATAATACATATACAATACACTAGGGAGTTTGTATTGTCTCGAGCGTGATTAACTTTTTAGTGTAGTAGACGTCATTTAAATTGCTCTTTCTTTTTTCTCTCTCCCTCTCTCTCTCTCTCTTTCTGGTTGCTACACAAATACATACACACGCCCCTGTTCAAATTTCGATTTTGTCGTTTGATCGCTTTCTTCTCAATCAAAATCTCATTTGTTGTTTGACTGCTACATACTCTCTAGGAGACAATGATGTCAACCCTGATATCAAATTTGTCCGCCTTGGTCAAGTGAGCGTATAGACATACCTAGATTTTTTTATTCACCTGCTGATTTGATTATGTTCAATATAGACAAGTCAATTTAATAGGTCACAGTGATATTAAAAAAGTAAAAAAATAGGAAACACCCTTTATTCCTTCTTAAATATGCGAAATGCTACTATTTTTTTCTAATGATCAGACAATTAATTGATGTGTATATATTCATGAATATGTTTACACGAAATTTGATTCTCTGTTACTTTTGCCATATGTCAACAAAAGAAAGGAGAGAACAACTGTTCAGTCTGTTTCATCTTTACATATATATATTCTCATAAGAAGAAAGAGCAGACAACAGAATGGATAGAAAAGAAATAGAGTTAACTTTTAAGTTACTATAAGTACTTGAATGGTTTATTATATAAGATGAACAGGCGCAACAATTCATATAAACAATAGCTAGTTTAATAGGATCGAAAGAGCAGAAAAAAAGAAGGAGAAGGAGAAGAAGAATGAGAAAATCAATTATTCTTATACTTATATTATTCTAGTTAAATTAATGACGACAAAGAAAATGAGGACATCTCGTTAGTCCAATATAGATGATGATGATGAATGGCACGTAGATTTACAATGACATACAAGAAAAAAAGCATAAGATTCGGTTTCATATAATGTATGAACAACTGTACACGTGCTCATCTTATGTGTATATATATATGCTCTTGAATTTCCCAGTAGGATTCATGATGCAATACATACACATAAATAAGTAAAGCAAAAGACGCGATCAATCATTACTTATACAAATGGGCTTCTCTTTTATACATATTTCTCTTTTTATTCTTACAATTTAAATCAAACATTTGAATTATTACAATCGATGTATGTAATTAATGCAGCAGATTTCTTTTTCACAAAAACAAGACCTTCATATATGCCATTTTCAATCGATGCTCAATCTGATGGTGTTATATTCATACATACAAACTTGCATAATGAGTAACAGCTCGCTCTTGTCTTCGTTTTTTTTATATTCTTCTTCTCTATCAATATATATGTGTGTAGATGAAGTAAAAAGAAAAGAGTCAAATTCAATTCATATCATCAAGAGCAATTATCATGCTCAATCGATTCAATTCTTCATCATCAATTGACTTCTCTCGTTTTTTTTCTTTATTCTCTTCTTGCCTGTCTGTCAGTCACGGTAATGCACACAAATACGGATCACACAATCATTGAAAAATATGTATAAAATCGAAAAGTGTCAATTTAACTTTTATCACTTATATATCAAATAACTTACTTAGAAAATATAAAATATAAATGTTGCTCTTGTAACCTTCACACCAACATTGTTAAATGCGGCCTATGTCATTTCCGGTAGTGGCCACTCGACGATAGAAAGATATATATATGTGTGTATATGTATATAGATGTATATCCTGTGTGTGTTGATGGTTCTATAACATTTTTCCCAGCGTCAAGTCGAAGGACATATTGATGATAGCGTGCTGTTCTAACTATCTAGCCGGCGGAGAGCTCAAAGAACAAAGACAAGGAAGAATACGAGCGTTATGGACTCGTTCAGTTGAATTATAAGAAAATGATGAGCAAGCAAACGAACACGCTTTTTTCTAGTTCTCGATTATGTGTCAAGAGACATGGAGAGAGGGAGAGAGAGAGACATACACAGGGAAAGAGAAAGAAAAAACCAGAGAGACAGAGAAAGAACAATATCTTTTCTCTTCTTCGAAAGTTACAATTAAGGTAACATACACGTTCTCAAAGCCATTTTTTCTTTCCTTGGTTAACTCGCCTAATTGCAAATGTGGTCATATTCACCTGAATGAACTAAAAGTCTTTTAACGAAAGAAGGAAATCAAGAAACTTCCGTTAAAAAGTGACGGCTATCTCCGTCATTTCAATTGTAAAAAGTCAAAATCAATTTTTATATCAAATTTTTTTTTTCTTCTTCTCTTCTTTATATACTTCATTCTCATTTGAAGGAAAGGTGTTAGAATGTTTATTTTATCAATTAAAAAATAACACAAATGACCGAATGAACGGAAAAAAGAAATTTAATAATAATAAATTTTTTTTTAATTAAAAATAACTGATCGATCGAATTGTAATTATAAAATATAAGTTTAAGAGAATTCCTTGCACGGAATACTGAATTAGCTCATAAAAAAATCAATACTAGTTACTGTTATTTATTATAACTTTTCGTTGAAAAAATTGATCGCCTGACTCGTTCTTCTCAATGATTAATCTTACTCACAATGGGTGGTGTCACTGGTAAGGATGGATGAGTCGCGCTAAAGAATGCCTGCCCGCCCCTCTGCTTAAAACACAACAGTCAAGTCACGACATGATGCCTATTATCGTACGTTTACCTTTCTATGACGTAATATGAAATACTGATGATTCCCTTGTTACTGTTACTGCTACCTTGATTGCTATCTATACATATATATATATGTGAACGTGTCTTTTTTCATAAAGCGTAAAAACAGGAAAAAAAATGGAAATTTAGTAATATTTTACTTATTATTCAATAGACGATCACGATGTGAACAAAAAAAAAAAAGAAATATATATATAATAAAGTCTCGTAGTCATTAAGATCGAAGCCGATGTGTTGAATAGATGTCTGATTTGCGTTTCTTTTCATCTGGTTTTAACAAGAACTGATATCAATAGAATAAGTCTAGCTTGAAATGAAATTATATGAAGGACATGTAGAATCGGTGAATATACACACCCTTCGATTGATTGAAAATAACAATCAAACTCTAACAAGTTCAAATAATAACATCGTTTATATATATATATATGATTTTAATCATAAAAAAGAAATCCGTATAATAGTTACAAAGTTAAAGATGATATGACAGCTGTATCAGCAGTCAACATCAATCAAGATGCTATTTGGTATTAGCAGAAATAAAAATGATGTAACAAATCAATTAATCAATTTCTATCCTAACTTTGTATTCATCTCTTATTAGAACAAGATATATCTATTATTCGTTATTTTGATAGAGAAAATCTATCAAGTAATTATATAATTAGAAATTTTCTTAACTCATAACTCATCATATATATTTTATAGTAATGCGAAAGATTGTTTAGAAACATATTAACATCAATTGTCAAATAGCATGCAATGATAACAACTTATAATAAGATACTGATCTATAGTAAATATAAATAGGCTATAAAACAAATGATCGTGTATCATTTACTATTGATATAAAAAAGAAACTGAAAATTGAATGATTAATATAAATATTAACAGATTGAAGGCAACGCAAAAAAGAAATTCTCGGTCATAGTAGAATGACATTAAGATATTGAGAAAATTATTTAGATTAGCTCACTTGTTATTAGATGATGCAAGACAAGAAAATAGTATAAATAATGAATGATCGATCAATCGATCTTATTACAACATAACAATGAATGATATAGTTAGTAGAGGGAATTTGTTAACGAACTAATTGATCTTTTTGCTAGATGATGTAATCGAATATGTTTACAAAAAAAACTGACATAAGGAAGTTAACTTGTCTGATTTGATGAACTAAACAAATCACATTAAGATCAAAAGACAGGATGTATGTGTATTTAATACAAATGTTTCCATTAAATACAACCTTGTAAGAAAAAAAGAAAACTACCTTTTGAATAATTAATTCTATATATAGAATCTCCATCTTTTTTTTTGTTTCAAATTATTTATTACCATGATTAAGAATGAATCATGTTAATGAACTTTGTATTGTTACATATCATAAACTGTATTTGTATCCAATTGTGTATATTTGATAGATAGGAATGTTTATATACAATATGTTTATAATAAGATAAAATCATTCTTCTTTATAATATCTTACATGAGGAAGTTTTCTGTAAAAGAATTAGCCCTTGCCATTCATTGAACAACACTGTCGGTGTTCAAATTAATGAGATGACCTTTTCATATATTTGCTCCTCCTTTTTTTTCTCTTCTTCTTCTACCTACTGAGTATGTCGATTGTTCAATTTACCATATCGACATGAAGATTCTTTAATTTACATTAAATATAAGAAGAACCGATTGTCTACGTGTCATCTATTAAAAAATAATAATAAACTTCTTATTATCGAAAATTATATTTTAAGAAAGATAGTTAGAGTTATAAAAAAAAGCTGTCACATATAGAACATGAATGACATTTATCTTGTTATTTATTTTTATTAATTAGAGATTGAATATGAAGATCACGTAGATGATATAAGTTTAATAAGAGATAATAAATAGATTAATTTAATATTAAATGTTAAATATAGAAATTTTTGTATTTATTAATCCTTAAAAGTTCGGATTTTCCTTCATATATGAGTGAAATTTCGATGATTGTGAATTGTAAATAAAACATCCTATTAAATGAGAGAGACAATTTTTAAATATCGAGATGGCAGGAGTGGCGCGAGTCAGCCAACATTTGGGGGGGGGGGTGTAACGAAAATTTTTTGAATTTTTGAGGGGTTGTAGTGGAATTTTTTTGATTTTTTAGGGGGTGTAGCATGATCTTTGTTCAAAAAATAAGAAAATCTGCCGATTTTGTTGAGCAAAAAATAGAAATTTTCAAAGATTGAGGGGTGTTACACTCCCGACACCCCCCCCCCCCCCCTCCACGGTCGCGCCACTCCTGCGAGATGGATGTACTGGTTTCATGATATTCATTTTGTAGAAAGATCAATAAATTACTTTACTAGCAGTTATACTGAATCAATAATCTTTAAATAAAGTCTTTTGTAAGTATTTCAATGCAACACAAAATGCATAAATGTCAAACAACTGCTAATGTATCTATTTTAATCAACTCGTTGTATAACGTAATGAAATTAACAAAACAATACTTGCCCAAAAAAAAGAGTGACTGTAGATATTTTTACTACTTGAAACAAAAAACATCTTTTCCTCCAGTATTATAAAAGACAGAATTATTTGACATATAATTTGAACGCGGGACATTTAAACCTATAGTTCAATATATAATACGAATGACTCTCATTACGACTCTTTTCTAAGTCAGAGAAGATCGTATATTTTTCTCGAAAAACATGAACTTTTGCTCAAATTTCCTTCGAACACCGGATAAGTTTCATATTTTGAGAAAATAATTGATTTTAATATAACTTTGTCCTCATTAATGACAGATAATAGCTGTATGAAAAAAACTTTTATCACCGGAATTAAGAAAACTAATAAACTCATGCTATTAATATCAAATATCTTCTTCAAAAACTATTCCGCATCCTTACAAAAAGCATCTTGTTTTAAAAATCTAGAATCTCTACTACTTTGATTACTTTTTTTTTCATGTTATTAAAAAACTAATTCAAAATTATGATAATATAAAATAATTTATAAACGAAATAGACAAGAGAAAAACATTTCCATATAGATTATCTTTAAAAGAACGAGTTATTGTGTTGAATATAAAATAAAGAAATTATCTGAAGTAAATAGTTTATAATATATAGACAAAGATTATGACAATACTTAACTATAAATTCATCAACATATGTTTTATTATCTTATTCTATGGATTCTTTCTTAGTGTAGAGATTGCCCATTGATAAAATGAGCCAATCAAGTGATGTAAATTTCCTGTTGTTTAAGATAGTAACCATGATGATAGCAAGAAAAAGACCTTGAAGATAGTATTATGATAGAGATTAACAATGCATGAATAAGCATAATTATCATTTTCAATAGTAAATTAACTCTTCTTTTTTTTTCTTTTTTTTGTTAAACTCTATTATCTTGATAAGAAAATAAATTGTTCTAATTTATGTAAATAATTACTTAATTATATAAATGTAATGTATTATATTTGAATATTTTTGTTGTTATTAAAAAGGATGAGAAAGTAGTTTAACACCTGAGTTCAGTCAAAATAATCTTACAAGAAAAGTTAGTTTTTTTTGTACTGGGTAATATAATATAATGAGCTTTGCTAATTCAATGTGAAATCTCGAATTATTTGCTTGAAATCTTTTTATGCGCATGATGTGGATTTTTCTTCTTCTTCTTCTTCTTTTCAGACATTCAACGTCATCAGTCACGCAAATGCATATTGTGCGCGTTAAAGAATAAGAAGAGTCAGCGTTAGATGCTTGCTTTTCTTCTTCATTTTTTCCTTGTTTACTGACAAGTAAGTTGGCCGCTTTTTTTTTTATTCATCATTATGATGAAAGTGGATGCATCTCAACCCTTGTCTATAATGGATGGAAACAATCCTTTCACTATCGAACAAGATCAACAAACAAAAAAAAGTTATTTTAAAGATTTACGACAAAGTTTTAATTTAACTTATTTAACTCACAAATGGTTTGATGAAAAATGTAAATCTTTAATTTAAAATTATTTTCTATATATTAATTATTTTTTTTTGTATTTAGATTGGAAATTAGTTTTTTGTTCATCATCCTATGATTGTATTAATAAATATCCAAATATTTTTCTTATATATCGAACATTATTATTTGTTCTAACAATTATTGATCTAATCTATGGTATAGTTATTGCACGTCCTGTACAAGAATGGATAATCTATTTTACACATCTAACATTATTAATAACTTTTCTTGCTATTATATTTCAATTTTTAATAACATATCGTGTAAATTTTTATCGTGGAAATCAAATTGTTCCACAACATTATGTACAATATATTCATATTATTTTAATTCTTATATCATTAAGTTCTGGGCTTGTTGTGTGTCTTATCTTTTGGATATTTCTTTATAATCCAGTAGTACGATTATATTCTTCATTAATTCTTGATCATGGAATTATATGGTTGTTATTCTTTATTGATATATTTCTTTTAACACGTTTACCTATCTATATGATTGATTGTATACCATTGATAATATTTGTATTTCTATATGGATTATTTACATTTATAATTTTTATATTTAAATTTCAATTTAGTCGAAATCGTATTGGATATGTTTATCGAGCATTTGATTTTAATAATTCACCATTACGTGTCACAATTCAAGCAATTTTATTTATATTTTTTCTACCGGTTTTAATAATGTTTATTTTATGGAATTTATTTCGTTTACGTCGTGCAATTGATGTTAAAATAACAAATGAAAGAGAAGAATCAGCTGGAAATATGATGGCTTAGATTAAATATTAATGAATTATGTTTCATTAGAAAAAAGATTGTTGTTATAATGACAATTTATTATATTTTTAAATAAAAATAAAATATTTTCAATTAAAAAATATTCTAATTCAAATGAAAAACGAATATATGGCATATATTGATGTAAAATATAAAAAAACTGCTTTTAAATATTTCACAATCATTATAAAGAAGTAATAGTATTCATTTTGAAAATTCATATTAAAACATAAACTAATAATCTGTTTTTAGATGCTATACTAGCTACTGTTAAGCTAAACAGGCTTAATAATATTAGTAATTGCTCTTATTCGGTCGTATGAACATATAGCTCAAATGCAACGATGCTAATGTAATTCGATTTCGGCAAACATGTTTTTTTTACATATAAACATCATAAATATACGAAAGTGATTGTGATTTGTTTTCGTTATATTATAAATCTCTGCATACAAAATAACTTCAAGAATTATAACACTTTTATAGAAATATATGACACGTACATGAAGTAATGGAAAAAAATATTTCGGGACAATACTTGTTTGATCTTTTATCTATAATATGATGGATTTCGTTCTAAATGTAATTGATGATCTCCATAACAAATGAAGCACTATATTGAATGTCATATATATACCAAGATTTTCATCAAAGACTACGTTGGGTGTGGTGATTCTTGGATTCTTATCTAATCCCTTTTTCATAGCAATCAGTATAGCGTCTACGCTTCTTTGACTTGTTAGTTGTTGTCGCAAATCAAGCTTTAGATTTTCAGGTGATGTACCAAGAAGTAAAGATCGGAGAAGACTCTTACGAAACTGTAGGATGATTATGTTGTCTGTTATATAATTATTCATAAATCACCTTAACGTCGGTCAGCTTTGTTTTCTCTATCAGCTTCTTCTAACAACATGTAAATTATTCAAAAATTTTGATCACTTTTACATGAGTGAGCGAGAGAGACATGGATACCAGACAAAAATATAGAAACTTCGTTATCTTATCTCACACGTATTGTATACTATACATTAAAGGACCAAAACAAAAGCAACTTGAGTGATTATTCAGTGAGACGGAAGATTCGATTCACTATATAATGGTAAAATACAAAAAAAACGGAAAAACATCGCAAGAACAGAAAAAAAGATTATTAAGTGCACTATTCGTGAGAATGAATATCTTTATCAATATTATTAAGCCCATTGTTTTAAATGCCTATGGATGCTAGACACTCTATAAAATTTTAGTATATATAATAAATGTGATAGAGTCATTCATTGACTATTCAAATTAGTATTTGCATTTGTCTTTCATTTTAAACGAATTGAACATTAATATTTTATTATAAAACAAAAAAACAATATCATCAAGTTTTTCACTGTAAAATCATCGGTAATTTTTTTTGGTTTCCAAGTAAAATATTTATTAACAATCATCATCATCATAAGCAACCTTTTCCATTACTTCCTTGAATGCATCAAGATTAATAGTAAAGTTTGTTCGTGATTTTGTCGCTGGTGTAGTAGCATCAATAACATTTAACGACTGAAATTTATTTACAATATCAGTATCATCGGTAGAATCTACTTCTAAATACAAAAAAAAATAATTAACTGAATTAATTTGTTGTTTCGAAATACCTTTTGATTGTTTTCGCATTTGTTTAAGTTTATTATATGTTTCATAAATTTTCATAATCTTCTCTAAATTATTTCTTTGTTTGATAATATCAGCATGAGTAGACGAAACAAAATGTTCACGCATTAAATTTTCATTAGAGAATAATTCCGAACATACAGAACATGAATATGGTTTACCACCTTCTTGAATTTGTTTCCATGCATTTAATTTTTGAATATGAATTTTATTATTTGAATCAAAATGTATATCCGCATTATCCTTACCATATAATGGTAAATGACATATATCACAATATGGTTTATAACCAAGTGGATGATTCCATTCTAGTAAAATACGCATTGTTTCTGGACTAACTAAAAACGATGTTGATGAAATAGAAGAATCATCAGAACTATTATAACTTGTAGCTGCAAATGATGTTTGAGTATTTGTTGTTGGAGATGATTTAATATTTATTAAACTAGATTGTTCTGAAGATATTTGACCACTATTTAATTGAGCTTTCTTTTTATGTTTAGTACCATTTATATGTTGTTCATAAGGTCCTTTACCAGTGCATGGTATATCACAAATTTTACAAAAAAACTCAGATGACATCTGAAGAAAATAAGTTGTATTAGAATTTCATTATTTTTTAGATGTATTAATAAGATAAATGATGTATATAACTTCTATTAATAAAGGAAATCTCTCTATATATATTCAAGTAAGAAATATCGATAATTGAAGGACATGATAAAGGACGAAATCCATCATTTCCAACTTCTTTATAAGAAGGGCAATAAAAATGGCGAGGACTTCTTTCATTGATTTATCCTTGTCTGTTTATCTAGTTCTATTTATCTGTCTGGATTTCTTCAGCCTTCGGATGGCTGTAATATCTTAATCGATTACTAATAAGTAAACCTTGTCATAGCTTTCAGAATTCAAGGAATTAATATAAATTAAGATTTTTGCTAACATAACTCTTTTATATTCGTCAAAAAAACCTTCAAATCAATAAGAACAAAAAAGCCCAACACCTTTCATGATCGACATCTATTCAAAATAGTCAGATGTCAGTCATGTTCTAATTGTAGATATTTAATAATAGCACTACCAAATTCTTCTCCAATTTTCTGAATATAATCATTTCGATAAATTTCATTCATATGTTCTTGATCAAGACATGTTACACCTTTCATTCCGCCGATAATAGCTCCAATCATTGCTGCATTACTATCTGTATCACCACCTATTTCACTAGCACGTATCAATGTATCAAAATTGGGTTCACATGTTGGTAAACATGCAATCAGACCAATAATCATTGTTAAACTATCAACACAATAATAAGTTCCACCATTACTAACATCAATAATTAAATTTTCGTTAATTTCATCCGATGAATTTACATCTAAATAACGTTTAATTCTTAAACTTACAAGATATCTATCTTCGTTTAATTCATATTTTCTTTCATATTTAATACTTAATTCATAAATATATTGAAGAAATTCTTTTGAAGTCATATTTTTCTTTTCAAATAAATAAATACACATATGAACATAAATACATGCTGTTGATAAAGCAACAGATGAATTATGTGTCATACGACATATTATTTCAATTTCATTATCATTTACATTATGACATAAACTATAGTAAAAAGCAAGTGGTGCTAATTTCATTAAAACACCATTTCCTTCTGCTTTATTACCACTATCAAGATAAGTATGAGTACCATTTGATAATCTTTCAATTGCATTCTTTGTTCCACCCCAACCACCCGTAGATTCTTTCCATTCAATAATATGTTCTTGAACAATATTTACCATAAAATTTTCATTTGTTTGAAGATATTTCGTTATTGCTCTCATCATAGCTAATGATAATTGTGTATCATCCGTCCATCGTCCAATTTGCCAGTTTTCTGGTACATATGGATTATTTATTACACGTGTATATAAACATTTTTTAGTTTTATTTTGTAATTCAATTATTTGTTGTCGTGTTAATGTTTCATATGCAATACCTTTAGCATCACCAATTGCTGTACCAAATGCTATTCCAATTGTTCGCTCAAGAATTTCATTTGAATTCATATTATTAAAAATTCTTTCTGATAATCAATAAATAACCTAAACTTATGAATCATTAATTGTTTTTCTCATCAGCCTCCAATAAAATCCTTTATTGACAATAATAATGGCTACGTATTTCGTTCTAATATTTTTTCTGTCTTATTTGATTAGCTTTATGTAATAGTATTGTCATAGGATCACTGACCCATTAAAATAAAAGTTAACAAAAAAGTTTGTTTTTTATTCTCAAGGTTTTTTTCTAATAAAGCATTGTCTATATGAAAAAAACAAGGAGGTGTCGTAATAATTTGTTTGTCAAATAAATTATGATTATTACGCAAAAGAAAAAGAAATGAATTATTATTCAAACACTTTTAAAGATCATTTTACGTATTATTCATAAATTGTAAGAGTTTAATAAATTTTATTATTACTATTTCTTTTCATCAATCCTTGTCTTTTTAATGGCTTTGTATATATATACAAGGTTTTTAATCGTTCTTTAGTGCATGAGTACATGATGTCTTTTCTTTCAGTCTTTTTTTCTTGCTGCTTGTTCTTTTTTATCCAAGGTCTAAATAACAACATTCATGATGAGAGCAATAACAACAATAATAATAATAACAACATTAGAATTCTCTTATTTCTATTATCGGTTAAGTACATAAAAAAAAAAGAAAAAAATGAAAAACAAAAAAACATTCTCTATATTCGTTCGCACTGGAAAACACTAAACGAATAACAACAACGGATGTTTTTGAAGGTTTCTCCGTCAACAAGCAAAAGAATCATATAAAACACATGCATATGTGCGTATATATAAAGCAAAAATACGACTTCACCTTCATCAAAAGTAGATGAGAGATAGAGCGAGCGAGACAGAGAGAGAACGGAAAACAAGAGCGTGCGGAAAACAAAAATGAGAGAAAAAAGAAGAGAACTTGTTGTTTTTGCCTAGCTAGCGGCATGCACTCATTTTTTAAATAAGGTTATTTACTTGTTATGATTACTTACTTTATATAAGTTCGAGTCGTTTACTCGATATTTATGTCTGATTTTTATCAATATATATTAAAAAAGAAATAACATCAAATTTCGTGATCTTTCAGATTGTATATTTATGTAAGTATAAGTAAGATATAAACCAATAGTCAAACTTTAATAATGTAAGAAATCTAGAGAGCCTTGAGACATAGAAGCTTATCAAATACTGTCTTAGTTGTGATACATATATGTATACATATATACCTCAAGAGGTTATCATATCCTGTCAAGGTCATTGACTTTCCGGTGTGACGAATGAGGAGGTGTGTATCCTTCATTTAGTTCTTTCTTCCATTTTTGTTTCTAGCATTCAAGGTCATCAAAGCCTATTTTTACATAGCTTTCTTCTCGTTTCTCTTCTTTTTCTCTTTTCTCAGTCCCATTCATTCATGGGCATCGACCGAGCGAGAAAGAAAGCAAAGCGTCTTTATTTTGTTCTTCTCGTTTTTCTCCTTTGTCTAGGGGAGTCCCTGTATTCTGATGTTGCTGCTAACAGTATATATATATATATTTATATTTATGAAAAAGGAAGAGAAAAAATATGGCCAGAAAAGATGCGACAACTCAACACATAAACTACTATTTTTATGATTTTCAGATATATACACTTCAATGTCATCATCACATCAATTTTAGCAATATCATCTATGTTGATTAAATATCATCTATTTTAATTATATCAAAGTGATATACATATATATATATATATATTCTTTTGCTTGGATTTGAGTATTAATTTGTTTCATATAATAGATATTTATTCAAGGTTATTTAAATATCAATTGATGAATTTAACAAATAATTCTGGTGAATATCATAATGATAAAAATTCATCGAGTGATGATGAAAACGATAATCAGGAACCTTTTAATGATCCACCATTAATACTAATAGAAAATTTTTATACTGATAATAATAATGAAGACCTTGATAGTAGTGATGATGATGATGATGATACTGATGATGATGATGAGTATGATGAGGATGATGGAAGTGATATTGAAAATCATTATGATTCAAAAAATCAATTACCGACTGAAAATCGTCTATGTTCATTGTTACGACAATCAAATCGTCTTGTTGAATTAAAATTAAATACATTTCCTAATCGTTTAATAAATAATCAGCATCAATCATTACGACATGCACTTTCCGATAGTGATATGTCAAAACGATCTCATCATTATCAAAATAATCAAGAAGTACAAGATCAACAACAATCAATACTTTATTCATCATTATCAACAAATAATTTTTATCTTTCAACAAATCGATCACATCGTCTTTATTTACCAGCATCATATATACATGATTTACAAACACAAATAACAAATTGGTTACAAGCAAGTATATATCTGATTGATTCAATATCAACATCACCTTGTCATAGACGATGTTGGTCACAATTATTATTAACATATTTTATTGAACGACGTTATATTAATCTTGAATTTATTCGTTGTACACATTCAGTATCATTAACAACTGTTGATCAAGATACATGTTCTATACATAAACATGGTTGTGTACTTGAAGAAGATGCATATAAATTATGTTCAATATTACAAAAAGGTTCAAGATTAAATATTGATTCAATTATTTTTGATCATATACGTCGTATTATTGTTATTAAAAGTATGCAAGAAGGTAAATATATTTTGTTTTTGTCTGTTCTTTTAATAATAATATTTTTCTTTCCTATGAATTCTTTTAGTAAATAATGATAATACAACTTTACAACAAATTTATGTTAAACAATTAAAAAGTCTTAAACAATCTTTAACTCATCAACAATCATCAGTAACAAATATAAATAATAATAATCAAATAATAAGTGTTGCATCAATATATTCAAAACTTCTCTTATTTTTATCAAGTCTTTATTCAATTAAAGCTGAAACGATGCAAATACTTTTTTGTCAACACCTTCTACACAATCCGACTTATTCCTATCTTGTTGCTTCATGATTTATTTTTTTTCTTCTTTGTATGTGTGTGTGCGTGTGTGCGTTTATATGCGTCTATTGTGTATCCCGGTTGATGACTTATATTAAGGTATATGTCATCGTCTCGCTCAGATTAAAAACATATGTGTAAGTGTGTTTGTGTGCAGCAAAACGGTGAATGAATTTAAACAAAAAAAAAAAAGAAGACAAATAATTTTTTCTATTATTTTCTGAAGAATTTATTCATTTAGATGATTATATGTTTCTATTTCAATATTACTTTCAGCTTCATGAAGTGGAATGATTATTCCATCTGTTCTATATAATGTTGCATGAGGTTTTGTTGTATATGATATACCGGCAGTATTAAAAAAAAAATTTCAAGAGAATATTCAACAAAATCACGATTAGTAATATTATATTTATCATTCGTTTAAATTCAGATTTTAATTTTACAGTCAATGTATCGATAAAGTTTATGGGTAACTTATTTTTTATTAATAATTACAACCTTGTAAAGAAAAAATCGTTAAATATTAAAAGAGATCTTAGTCACGTATTAGCACTGATATATTTACCTAGAGAAAATAGTTTCGATGTTTCTTTTCTAGTACAAAGATAAGAAACTCTGATTTCAATATTTGATTGAAGGAAAAAACACATATGATTATAATCTTTTTTTTTCTATAAATAATAATGTATTTATTCTATTTGATTAAAAGAATTCTTTTATTAATTTATCTATCAAATAACAATGAAAATATTTGAAAAAAATGTTTGATTAAAAAGCGAAGGAGTTGATTTCACTTTCTTAGGCAGAGAAAAAATTAAAATTAACACAATATCTATTTCCATTATTACAATTCTCAATATTTATCCGTCATATAGAGCCCCCTGTAATACTTAATCGAATTAAGAAACAACAAATATTTCTTTTTGTGACTTTTCTATATAATCATGTTTAAAACTGTTTTTAGTAAAAAATTGATTTTTATAAACTTTAAAATAACAAAATATATTTAGGAAATAATTATATCAAAGTATTAACATGTCTTATCGAAAAGATTCATGAATTAGAATTATGATAATATATTAGAAATATAAGATTGTACTCGATCACATGAATATGATATATACGTTTTCGCTTGAATGATTTGACGCACACCCATAATATTCAAAAGAAAATATCACATGGCTGTTTATATTCTTTTCTTCAATTGATCGTTGTTTCGTCGATTAGATACAAGCTCGAACGAAAAAGAAAACAAATCATTACAGTATAAAATAATACTATTATTCATCGTGGAATGAAAATTTGAGTGTATATATTTTATTTATAGATATCATAAATAATCATGGCAAATTCTACTATCAATAAAATCAATGTTAATAAATGGATTCAAGAAAATCAGACACAATTTGTACCTCCTGTTTGTAATAAATTAATGTAAACAACAATAAAGTCGATAGCATCATGATTTATCCATTATTTATTTTCTGTTAGGCATAATGATCAATTAACAATAATGTTTGTCGGTGGACCCAATGTTCGTAAAGATTATCATTTTGAAGAAGGCGAAGAAGTATTATTTCTTTTCTAAATTATTATAATAATATGTTTTTTTTCAAAATAGCTTTTCTACCAAATAAAAGGTGATATGTGTTTAAAAATTGTTGAACAAAATCAACATCGCGATGTTATTATCAAAGAAGGAGATGTAAATTATTTGATTTTTCTTTTCTAATTAATTTCTTAATTAATAAATAAATCTTTAGATATTTCTTTTACCAGCATATATACCACATTCGCCAAATCGTTTTGAAAATACAGTTGGATTTGTTATGGAAAGAAAACGAGAAGAAAAAGAATTAGATTGTTTAAGGTATATATAAGCAAAAAAGAATATATATATTCCTAATTTTATTGTTGTCTTTTTTTCCATATTACAGATATTATAAAAATAATTCTTTGGATCCTTTATTTGAACGATGGTTCCATACAACAGATCTTGGTATACAATTAGGTCCAGTTATAAAAGAGTAAGTGATAAATTTCTATAGAAAAAAAAACAAATTTATTTTGTGATTAAATGAATAATATTTTGATCGAAAAATAATCCATGATCAATAATTGACACAGTAATTTGTAGATGCGTATTGATTGAAATATTATGCTCGATTAGTTTTGATAAAGAATAAGAGGAAATAGTTTTTATTGATTTAAATATATCAATAATAAAATTTTGTTGCATATTTTTTTATTTCATTCAATTCTATTTTATAGTTTATCCTTCAATTCATTATTATAAATATAAATATTTATCTAATATAGTTTACAGAGATTTAATACTACATAGTTTAAATTTTTGTTTTGTTTATCTTAAACCTATAAGAGCCTTACTTCTTGTTAAATATTAATCTGAAAAATAACAAGATAAATATTTTTTTTATTTTATTTTTAAGATTTTTTGCATCTGAAGAATATCGTACTGGTGAACCGAAAGATGGTAAGATATTAATATGGTTTTTTTTAATTAAACATAATTTTCGAAATATTTTAGATAGTTTTCCTAAAAATCCACCTTTAAAAAATAATGAAAAGATTAAAATAAATAATCCATTTTCATTAAATGAATGGATTGATAAACATAAAGACGATCTTTCACATGGTCATCCAATTAGTTTATTTCCGGATCAATTTCAAACAAGAGTTTATGTTATTTCGAAAGGACAACATACAATTGATTGTTCTAATGGTGATGTTTGGTTATGGCAACATGTTAATAGTTTATTCTTTTACTTAGAAAATCATTTTTTTTCATTTTTTATATATAGAAAGGACATTCAACAGCTAAAATAATTACTAATGATAAACATGAATCAGTTATCGATTTAGAACATTCGGATTCAATCTATTTAAATGTTCACTGGACGTAAGTAATGAATTTGTTTTTCTATCTATACTTAGTTCTTTATCTGCTGACGTAATAAATTCTAATTGATATTCAATGAGGAAAAGAAATCCAGGGTTTCTTTGAACTTATCAAATACTACTTAATTGCAATCGATATTGACATTTTCTAACATTTATTTTTGTTCTGTAATTAAGAAATTCTTTTTTTTTCTTCATATTCTTCTTCTTCTGTTTTTTTTTCGTGCATAGAATTGACACGATAAATACATACACAGTATTGATCACACAATGTATTCTGGAACATATACAGGATTTGTCTGTTTAAGTACAAATAAATTTACTGAGATCAAAAAGTGCACAGTTAATTTTAGTAGATGACAATAAATCTATAAGGAATTGACAATATAGTATTAACTTATATAAACGATTTCCGCCGAGTTCGAAAAATAGATTTTTCTATAGTAGACCCATTGATGGTAGAATTATCTTGGCGAATTGTTATTGTTGTTGTTGGAGACGTACTTACTCGAGATAAAAACTGAATTAGTTGATGTGCACCAGCTGCACCAGCTTTTGTACGTACAAGTTCATCTATTTTCGGTGCCATTTTAAGTGTTAGTGTTACTATAGCAGCACATAATAGAATAATTAAAAGTCCAACAATACTAACAATTCGAGCAATAATACGTTTTTTACGATCAGCAGCTGCTAATAAACGTTGTTGTTTAAGTTCAAATAAACTTGATGGTGCTCGATCAACTATGGAACCAATCGATGATGTATAATTTAGATTCGATTTTCTTGAGCCACGTTGTTGATAATAAGATGGTTTAACAACAAGATGTTGAATAAAAGCATCACGTGCTTGAGGATCAACATCAAGAGTTCCAGCTAATGGTTTTGATAGACTTCTTTTGGCTAATGGATGGGATTGTTTAGGTATGGGTGAGATATCAACGTCTGACATTAATCGATGAACGACAATGATAATATCGATAGTTGAAATAACATAAGCATATTTGTTGTTTAGTTAGTACATTTGCATAATCAATTTATGAGATCGACACGATGCGATGTGGCAACGAATAAGAGAAACCCTAAAAAACAAGCTGTAAGATAGAATGACAATGTCAACACCGTTAAAGAAAGGAAACGAGCTTAATTGATCACCCCATTTCGCTCTTTTTTCTCGCTCTTTCGCTCTCTCTCTCCCTCCCTCCCTCCTTTTTTCTTTCTCTTTTTTTTGTCATCTGACAAACAGACACAACGATCGATCATTGTATATGACTTACAAAATAGCGAAACATATGTAACTTTGCCTTAATTTTATTTCAATATAAACTATTTGTATATATGTATGTATTTGATAAGTTATTTTCGGTCTGCGAAATCTAACTAATGCTCAACGAGAAGATGACAACCGATATTCATATATGATCAAATCATAATTACAAAATAATAAGAACTATTCATGTAAAAATAATCATATACTATTTTCTTGTTACTTACAAAATACGGAACATTTATGTGATTTATATATTCGCAGTTTTTTGTAAATATGCCAATGATAAAAATACTACCAATTGAATGAAGCAAACTGCACTGATGACACAATACATATTCACTCAATTAGAACTTCCATTCATATAAATCGAATAGTCAATTGGTGAATATAACAAAATATAAACTAAATCCGAAAATCTATAATAAGATTTAAGATTAATTGACAGTAGACGACGTCAGCTATCATGCTTGTTTCGAGTAACCATCGTTCAACAAAAATCATTATAGATATGTTTTTCCTATTTTCTTCGTTGTTTCCTTCGTTTTTTTTATATTTATAATCGGTACTCCCTTACCAATAAGCCGAGATGTGGTTGTCGTCGAAAAAGCAAAGAAAAGGGATATAGAGAACAATGCCAGCCCGAAACCGTTCAAACTTCCTATAGTTGCGTTGCGCTGTGTTGTTGCTTTCCTACTATCAAACTACGAGTGTCGTCTCACGTTTGTATCATTTAACAGGAAACAAGGAAAAAAACAGAAAGGAGCATAGAACGAAGACGTTACTTATTTTCTTTCGCTATGTCATTTTCTTTTTCTTCTTTACATTCTACTAGAGGTTTTCACTTTTTTTTTTCTAAGAAGAAAAAAAAAGAAGAACGGAAATCCCATGTATTCTCTTTTTCCTTATTTCTCTCTTTTTTTTTTCAAATGATCATATGTCACTACTATCGGCGTTTCTTTTTAGTTTTCCTTGTCTCTGTTTAAAAAAAAAAACGAGAGAAAATATATGAATGAATAAGCATGAAGTAATAACGACAAATATAAATTGAAAAGCGTTTGTGCGTGAGCACCCACATCTATATTCACACATAGAACGAACGAGCCATAGTCTTACATAAGCTATAATTTCTAAACGATCGATTATCAATAAGACTTTTACTGTAAACTTTTTCTTTCTTTTCAATGGAAAAGATAACAAACTTATGTTAAAAAGTATTAGCAAGAAGAAGAAGAAAAAAAGAACAAGAAAAATTAAGAATACATTGTTCGCATGAAAGAAATTAATAAAGAAAAGTCAACTTAAGTGTACTATGTAATTAGCGCAGTGAAACGAGGGTGACCGTGAGAAAATAGGAAAAACAAAAGGAAGACTAATATCTGTCTTGAAGAACTCATCATAATCACGAAAATGTGAACCGTATGAATGTATTAATAGATGGTGAATTAATGATAAAAAAAGTGACATGACGTACATGAAAGACGATGTATGTTCTCTTGAATAACTTATTTGAAACGATTGACATGAATGCACATAGACATGCAAAGGGATTCTCTAATGTATATTTTATGTAAACTGATGACGGAAAAGAGTAGATAAAATATTACTTAATGTTTTTATGCTCAAGATAGGATAACTGATAAAAAAAAACAAAAGCGTGAGAGACTTTCTTTTGGGATTTATTATTTTTATAGATAAAAAGCTGAATTATGTATTGCAATTTGTTGTTTTTCTTTCTTCTATGTGATTAAAACTATTATTACTATTAACAAGTGCACACTTAATAAATTTTTATTTTACCTGATAAAAAAATATTATATATATAATGTATTATGAAAACATACAAGATTGAGTAGACAGGAAGAGGAAACTGCGACAATGCGTACAATGGATATGTCAATCTTTACTTCATTGATGATAGAATCTAGCACTATATATATATTTTTGCGTGGTCTATGTTTTATCTGATAATGTATGTTTCACGCTAATCTAAAACTATAGTGATATAATTAATAATGATATTGTTGTCATTTTATATCATCGACTATGCCCTTGTGTATGTAAAGAAGAAAAAAAGGAAAGTGGCAACGAAAGTCAAGTAAATCATATTTGATCGGAAAACACACTACCGTGATGAAGACACAGTGAATAATAATAAGGAATAGAAAGCAAAAGAGCGATATACTGTATGTATATATATATATAGAATTAAAAACGGAGACCAAGATAATTAATTCTTCATATATATAACGTTGTATGTCAAATCATTTTCCACCTTAAGTTCTTTTTTATCTATGTTCTTGTCAACAGACTATTGCGTGACACAAGGATATATATATTGTTTCCTTTATGTGCGTGTTTTTGTTGATATTAATATGAAAAAATAATATACAAAATGTTACTTTTTACCTTACTTTTTCAAAAGACAAAACTTTTTTTATACACAAAAAACGATGTGACATAAATCTATTTCTTACTATTGTTCTACAAAAACTATCATAAATTTTTATTTATTTATAGATGTCAATTGAATATTGATGATAATGGATATGCTTTGGCAATTAGTCAAGATGCAACACGAAAAACGACCTAGTTATTTATCAAAAACTGAACTAAAAATATTTTCATAATTTTATATAAAGACATTTTAATCCTAGCTGAGAGTTAAAATATTTTTTTTTACAAAGAATAAAAATAGATCATAGAGAAAAGTAGAATGGAATCTATTAAGATACGTCTTAGCTGTTATTAATGAAATACTTATAGATCATTGATGACGTATATTACAGTGATTTAACAGTAAGTAAAAATATATGTGGATCGAAGAATAAGCAAATACCAATCGTACTGATACTATACTGGATATATTTTTTTAACGAAAAATCATTTCCAGATGTTATTCTAGATTAGGATTATGAACAATAATTATTGTTCGTATGTTTATTAGAAGTCTCGAGTTTTTTAAAATCTAATAATATCTTTTTCTTTTGAATTTATGTAAAGAGTTGTTGTCTCAAGTACTATGATTATATCAGACAAACAATATATATTTTCATTATTCACTTGCCGTAATCAGCAATAATCAATAGGAGAATATTCAATCCGAAGAATGCTCTTGTTATGTCAATTGATTAAGTATTTTTTTAATCAATCATATTGTTAGATAGTTCCACTTAGACATACTTATATAATTTATGGTAAAACAAATGATAAAGATAATATTAATTCTCATTGATAAGATTTTTTCTCTTAACAATAGCTATTTTGAAGTAATATTAAATATTATGATTATAAAGGAAAAGAATAGAAGATGTTTGTTTATTGTCAAAATAAAAAACACAAATATTTTCTTTATGTCAGTTTTCTATTTATTCACATAGTTAAAAACAACACGAACTTACTTAGTCTCCTTTATATTTCCCATCTGAAACAATGAAAATATTTCATAAAGTATACGATCTATCTCTAGTGACTATATATCAATATCGTATAATTAAAATTTATTTATCGCATGTTAACGATTCTGTTGATAGTAATGAATGAATCTGACAGCAGTTTTTGAAACAGTAATTTATCTTAAATAATCTATAATAAATCATGATATTTTCTTCTGAATATAATCGAGGGAAAAATCTAAATCAATTTCTAAATATCTTTCAATACATATACTGCCAAAAACAACTGAATGAATCATAAATCGAGTCTACTGCGATATTGTTGATATAGATAACTCACCGAATAATGGAAAATTATCTTCTATTGAAAGATCATTATATGTTAGCGACGACGTCAGACAATGCAATAACTACGTATTTATTTCAGTTAAATAAATACCATACCATACGACAATTATATGCTTGATTGAATTGTTTGATTACTTCCATTAGATGTTTCATTCAAGATCTTAAAAGGAAACAGTCATGATATATTTATTTTATCATGCATTCTGAAATTTTGAATGGGAAGGTCAAATTATATACGAAGACTAATGAATAATTGGAATGAATAAGAACTTTTATACTAATAATAGAAATAAAATATCTCTGAAAAAGTAAATTAACGCCCATTATTGAAAGATGAAGAAAGGTTCTTGAAAAATATGGATACTACATTTAATACTTATAAAAGCTTTTATGTAAATTGATCGAATGAAATCAGTGAAATATTTTTAAAAATAAGTGAAACTAGAATAAATATATGTTTGAAATACTATGGCATTGAATTTAATCCAAGATGAGTTTTTCTTTCTTCTATTTCGAATGTATATTCATTATTAGATAATCTATTTTCGATGTAGTAACTATTATTACATGGTAATAATTATTGTCATACAAAGAAAATTTTTTATTGAATTAGAAATGCAAACATGCTTGTGAAGGTTCTCCATACACATATCTGTGTCTACCTGCTGACTTCTTTCTCATCTGTTTTCATGACTTACAGAGTATTTCTCCATATGCATATATAAATAACTAAAAGTCGATCTATTACAAACAAGTAAACAATATTTTCTTTATTCATCGAATACCATTTATAACTTCTGTTTTAAAATTCCAATGTTTTAAGTACATTTTTGATTGAAAAGTAATTGCTTATATTGTAATACGATATTCTATAGAAAATAGTCGAAAACGAATGATTTGACGTAAGAAGAAGTTGTTGATTAATTTAGAATTTCTTCCGTATAATGATAGTATTCGATTATGGTGTGATATATTAGAGCATCATTATCACAAGAAGCATCGAGTAGCCTTCTCGTAATCACTTTTGTATTTCGTAATGTCTTCAACTTTGTAACAGGTCATCTAATTAGTGTTATCTTGTTATGCCTTTGTACTCGTTTCATATTCAACTGGTGAATATATACAGCTGTTGATCTTTATCAGTAGTTATTTGATAACATTGACCATTTTTTTCGATCTAATTCATTTCATCTAGATGAAACACAATCCGTATGAAGAACAGAAATTCTATTTCTATGTTATAATAATCAATCTATGGAATGAAGGTAATAGGAGCTGACGAAATAGAATAATTAAGAAATATCTTTTTAAAAAAGAATTCGAATCATATGCTATTGTGTCAATGCAAATAACTATGCCGATACTTTTCATGCCTTAGCTTATACGATCCAAAGAATCATATTGAGTATAGGATATATAAATGATAGAAAAATATATCATCAGATAGCTACTTTTGTATGATATCCGTTTCTTGAAACTATCAATATTGATCGATGTTCCACAATGACTATGCTAGTGCATCATCTACTTATTCTTTTAATATTTAGATACACATTAGCTACGATTTCAATTGATGTAAAACTTTTATTATATGTTTTTTTATCCATCGTAATAAATAAAGTTTTGATTTCATTATTTTATGATCTATCGTAAAGATTAACAGATGGATATACGTAGTTTATATATATATTTATTTTTATTTTGATCTACAACTGCAGTCACTATTCAAATACGGCCTTGGTGTAATCAAAGATGAGTCATTATTTACTGACAAAGTATACATCCTGAGATAAGTGATACCTTGACGGTTATATTTTCAATGAGAAAATCAACACATGCATTCCGTTAAGTGAAAACATTAACATCGTTAATAATGCTTTCCAGTTGTGCCAACATGTTCCGATACTCTTTTGCTTGTTTAGTGCACGGTGGCATTTACTCAGATAAAGCAATAATTTTTGAGCGAAGTGTCATCGTGATAAGATACTATCAAACAACCTTGTTATCTCATATTAATGGCATTCAATGAACTACTTATATATGCTCTAATTATTGCTAATCTATATATATATTGGTAAAGTTATGTACAATAAATATTTCAATAAACTAACTAATGCACAAGAATCGAATTACAAGTAAAAAGTTTTGATTAAAATCTTAATTCGAGTCTATACTTAAGAGTAGATACTAGTTGTTTTTGTTTACGTTCTAATCAAAAATATAAAAATGTTTATGAAACTGATTTTTTTCCTACGCGTTCGAAGAGATATAATTATGCTAGATAATTTATCTTATTTTTGTTTCTGCTTGTTAACATTATCTTGATTATCAAACAAGCATGAAATTTAGATATATTCTTTATTTTGATTCTTATGAAAAGTAGTATCTACAAAAATAACTCACTATGAATAGAAATAATTAACTTAATGGATACAATTCTTCGTTATAGGCATAGATTAAAATAAATATTAATAAGAACATAGGGCATATACTATTGGTTATTACAGAAGTACGCATGTTTTTTTCGCTGAGTAATTGATAAAAATCGAAAAATAAATGATTTAGATAAGAGAAAATGTTCTAAATGATCGACAAATTAAATTGCTTTGATTTTATTATCTTCAGTAAAAACATGTTGCCATCATAAAAATAAATGATTTCTTACTAATAAATAAATATAAATGACATTAGTCCGAAACTTTGAAGATGAAAACAAAATATATATATTAGCAATTTTCTTCGATTGCGATATTAATTAAATATCTGTTGAAATAACAAACCTGGATGTTTCATAAAGTAGTTTAGAACTCTTGTGTCTGATTCAATCAAATTTATATCATTAGTAAGAACGTTATTTTTCTTAAAGGAGATTAATCAATATTTTAACATAACAAATAATTAGTAAAAAAGAAAACTACATGTGTTCTTGCTTAATGATAAAAAACATTAATTTATCTGATATTTTCAGCAAAAATATTTGCGTAATAATTATTATATGCATGACGATATCTCCTCATTTGATTAATATGAATCAATTTTCATATTTTTCACCATATGATCTATTTTTATTAGCGTATTTAGTATATTAGTATAGTAATACTAGTATATCTTTACCCGAAAGGCTTAAAAAACCTTCAAACTAATCTAAGATGTGTAATAGCTCATTCAATTCGATTATTTAAGTACCTACTTGATTGAAAAGTGACGAAAGAATTGAGAATATTCCTTCATGAATTTTTTGTTAACCGAAAAAAATAAACTATTTAGTAATAATTTCGAATTATTAAATGTCTAGTAACTAATCAATAGTTTCTTTTCTACTATGTAATATATGAGACTTCAATAAATACTTCATATCGATACTGTATCGTGTAATTTCCAAACGACATATTCTCTTACAAAAAAAAATATTTCATTCATAACCAAGGTCAAAAAATGTTTTTAATATAAAAACAAGCCTTGGACTAGTGGTTCCTTTAATTACTTCTACGAAATGTGTTGAAAAAAAAGAAGCCATACATTATTACTTTCATCAGTAATTCATTAATTATAAAAAATAGTATACTAAATTGACTGTAGTCGTCATCGTCTAGCATATTCATTTTTTTATCGATAACAGTATGTCAAAATTAATCGTAAAAAAAATATATATATGGTTAACTGTTCATAATAGTTTTGAAATGTTACAATTAATGTCAATGTATTTTTTTTTACATCTTCTATCAGATAAAATTGAATATTTGTTTATCGCTTTATATATACATATCATGTACAAAGATTTATTTTGTATTGTAAAAGAGAAAAGGTCATAGGATCCATTATTAAAATATCACTAAGAAAAAAAGTTCGATCGATTTTTTTTCTCGTTGTAAATTAAACAATTTTATCATAATATTTATTTTTATAAGAGAAAAACGAAATTTCTATTTTGTAACAACAAAATTTTAATTCTATTATTGAATTTTTTCATGTACAAAAAAACACCAGATGTATTGTTTTATCAAAGCCAGATGAAATAATACAAACATTTGTTTTTTTCTTTTGAAACATAGGGTTTTTTTGTGTATGTGTCTGTCTGTGCGCACATAATGTGCTGGAGAAGGCCATAGAGACTCGCGTCAACGTACTTATTATTTTTTTTTCTCATTCTCTCGCGTTCTATTTTGCTGTTTTTTTTCAATTTTTGATCAGTGATAGTCGATACTATACAGCTGTAGGTAAGTATTGGAAGAGAATAAAGACCTGGATGTGGGCGAAACAAAACATAAGAAAGAATACGACCGAACGATATGCGGTTTGCGGCCATTATTGAGAAAAAAACTGGCAAATTGTTGTGCACAATACAAGAAAGGTCGAGAAGAGAATAGAAGTGTTCGCCCGCCACCGGCCTTTCTCTCCCTCTCTCTCTCTTTCCTCGTTCGAGAAAGAAAAAAAGAGATTCTTTTTCTTCGTTTCTTGTCGTTGACGAAAGATTGTGGTTGGTGCACATCAAGACAAAGAGTCGACCGCACAACAGCCATCCATCGTTTTAGTAATAAAAGTAGTCGACGATGAAACATCAAGCAGCTGATAGAAAGAAAAGAAAAACGAGTAAGCAAGCATGTGGTTACTAGATTTTATCATTATTATTACAATCGACTGCCGATGAGCTGGATTATTAATTATAATATGTATTGATAGATCTATTCATTATTATTATTATTTATTATTTAAAATATAAAATTCCTTTGGTTTCTTTTCTATTTTTTTTTCCTATTACACACGACATTTTTTTTAGTAACAAACGTCCTTGAATAGACCTTGTTGCCACAACAACAGTTCAATATTTGAACAATTTGTACTAACATTTCTTTTCTTTCTTTCTAGATCATTGTTCTGTATTTTTTCTTTGAATAAAATGACAGAATTACTTAATAATTTTGATTGTGGAAATAATAATAATAACAACAACAGCAATAATAAAGAATTATCATTACCAACAACATATAATACAGAACAAAGTTTATATCGTTCTTGTTTAACTGGTGACTTAGAACGTGTACAATATTTACTTCGAAGTAATTCGTCGTCATCAATTGATCTCAATCGACAAAATTCTGATGGTTTAACATTATTACATTATGCTTGTTCAAATAATTTTTATGGATTAGTTCAATTACTTTTACAATATGATGCAAACAATTATATACGTGATAATCTTGGACGTACCTGTTTGCATTATGCATCAATAAAAGGTTATCGTGCGATAATTAAATTATTATTACAATCAATTGAAGATTCATTTAAACATGATTTTATTTATTTAAATGATCATGAAAATAAGAGTTCACTTGATTATGCATGTGAAAATGATCATCTTGATTTAGTTGAATTATTTCTTGAATATACCGATATAAATTATATTGATTTAACCACACCATTGTATTATTCATGTATTGAAGGCCATTTAGATATATGTCATTTATTAATCAATAAACAAATTCAAAGAAAAGATTTATTTTATTTACAAACATCTTTTATTCAAACAATATGTCATCGTGGTCATATTGAAATTTTACGTTTATTAATTGAACATTTTTCTCCTGCTAATGAACAACGCAATTGTGGAAATAGTATATTATTTTATTGTATAACAACATTTGATATAGTTTTAGTTCGAAAATTATTAGAACGACAAGCACGTTTAACAGAAAAAGATATACATGATTTAATAACATTTTGTCCATTAAACGATCAAAATCATTATTATATTGATCATTATTTTGATTGTTTAGAATTACTTTTACGTTATCGATCAAATTTTGATGATCAAAAAATTTGTAAATATTTTATTCGAGAATTATGTGAAAAATGTTCAACAATATTAATTGGAAAAAAATTAAGATATTTATTTGCATTAGCACTTCATAGTGGTTCAATACAATTATATCGTCGTTCAACTATAAAATGGTGTGGAGAAATAAATATTTTAACAAAACGTTATGTTAACTTAATTGATGTTATTAAACAAACAACGAAAAATTGGTCATTAAAACATTTATTAAGATTAAAAATAAAACGCTCAATGAAACTATTTAATATGGAACAAATTAGAAAATTACCCGGATTACAACAACAACATATTGATTTTCTTAGTTTTGAATATTTGTGAAATTATTTGTCTATTTCTCGTTCTCTATCTCTCTGTGTGTGCCATATTTTTTTTAATTTATATTAGGAAATATATGTCGAAGACGAAAGAAACAGTAAATGAATAGGTGATATATTTCACGCAACTCAAACATGTATCGATTCAATTTAATATTAGTATTTTGTATCATTGTCAATGCTGTCTGTTACATTTCTTTTTTTATATAATCTTTTTTTCTCATTGGGTATCTTGTTTATAACACCTTGAGATCCTATTGAATAATATTATATATAATCGCCATAGGTACAACATGAATGTAATCGAATTCAAACGAATAAATTACTCTCTTTTCTTTTTTGATACGAATTTGCATAAAGATTAGTAATATAAGCATTTATACAAACATTGAGATAGAGATTTAAGCGGTCTATTAGAATAATCTACTTTAAAATCAATATACAATTTTTAAATAATCTTTTCGTTTTAATATTTCTAAAGAAAAAAAAATATTCTAATAATCTCAAATAAGTTCATTTTCTTTAATGTATATTCAATATGTACAAAGTAAGACTTACTAAAATATATTGTATATATTATTATTCGTCAAGAAGAACTACAAAAAAATAATAAGAATATAAAAATTTAAATAATAATGATCTGTTTTATTCAAAAATTTGAAATACTAATATATTTTATCAAGATTAATTTTTTCTTCATTTATAATTCAAACAAATAATAAGAAGATTCTATCCTAATTTATATGTAACGATAAATCTAATATAAAACAAAATATTTCTATTTATTCTATAAACAACAAGTCTTATCTAAATAGTTTCTTTTTTTTATTTAATCATTTAGTTTTGGTTTCTTTCAATGTTAGACTAATACATCGACAAAAAAAAGAAAATTTCTTTTTTTTTCGTGTCAATAAAATAAAAGCAACGGTATTTAACACAAGGTCATATATCGATGAATAGTTGCGGATGAATGATCATACAGCTTTTTATATGATATTTCGTCTATGTGTTTGATTTAGTATTATTATTATCATTATCATCATTAATGAAAGATTTATTTATGACTTGTATCGATCATATCATCGATAAATAAACGCCTACGTTAATATTTAAAAAAAAAACAAATCATAACCCATAACATGTAAGGAATATTCTTGTATATATTCGGTACATAAAATTTGATAAAATATTAAAAAAAAACCATGAAGCATAAAAATATTATTGACATGATCATATATTTTAGGTTATTCTTTGAAACAAGGACCACGAGTGTTTGTTATGACGAACGAATTGCAACACAGAAGAGGACGAGTCTCTAGATTACATTCAAGGTCATCTTTTTTTATCCTTAGTGATATCATATACAGATGATAGATAAGCGATATCTTCGTAATTTCATACATGACTAATTTTCTCCTCTGTCTCTCGCACGTTGATATTACAAACGTAAAATTATATGCATTGTATTTTAAAAAAAGAAACGAAAAGGATTTTTTTTATGATTATACATTGTATTATAGATATATTTTTTTTTTCGATCGTTTCGGTAGTCGATTTTTACAATAAATATGATATTTAAAAGAGATTATACGCACACAGCTGCACAATTTATAATTTTGAGAAATCAAATCAACTTATGTTTCATTACCAACACAATATTTAAACATGAACTTATACAAAGATAAGATCATCAATACGTCCATATCAAATTGTCATTGGTTTGGCAAAAAGAGATCAAAATAACGATAATTATCTATTCACAATCGAATAAAATCACATGCTCTACCGATATGAGTGAGTAATAATTGTCGTCCTGATATTATTGTACAAGTCAACAAATGACCAGCGTCAAATGTAAATCATTTATTCAAAAACAGTCTTCCTACAATGACGACGTTTAGATATATATTAATAACTTTTTGATTTAAAAGTTATTCATTTTCTAATCTATTCACAATTGCATTATCAAACTAAAACATTTTATTTCAAAATAAATAAAATTACTGAATAGAATTTTTCTGCTAGTACATTTACAACTAGTCATCTTTTCAGTTTAATTTGAAAATGGGCAATTAATATTCAACTACGACTTACAGGCAATATTCATTGATATCAAAATACCTACTATCATATTTGTGTGTCAATACAAATACTTCGATTATAAATTCAAAACTTAATCATTTGGACAGCTCAAAATTGAGAATTGTACTATACAATTCTTTAATATATTTTACTTTTTTCTTTTTATAAAAATTATTGAATTATTGAGTAATCATAGATTACATCATATAAACTAATCTATAGTTTTCTATCACCAGAATAATTGAATAGCATTTTGTTAAAATACCACACCCAATTTTATACCAAGTTCGTAAACACAAGATATACATTTTATATTTACATTTAACATGATGTTCAAGAATACTTCTCAATAGAATTATTCTTTTTCAACGTAATCATTATCTATGTATAGAATTTCAATTGATTATTTGAATGTATACGACATAATTGACTACGATAGTTATAATAATTATTTCGTTTTCATCTCATTCAAAATCACGTTCATAATATTATATCTTTCTTTAGAAGTTACGCATATTTTTGAATAGATTAGTTATATCAACGGTGAAAAAAGTTTTCTATGCAAAGAATGTAAATAAATTACAAGCTGTGATCTATTTGCCGATATTCATAAATTTTCAATTGAAACAAAATAGAGTTTTTATTATTCAAACAATTCATCACCTTAAATGTAGAGCTATGCCAGTTGAATAGTTTTTTTGTTTTAGTTTTTTATCTACAATGATAATGATACTTTTTATTACATTTTTTTTTCATTCACCAATAAAATATACAAAATATAAAATGTTAACCTTTAGTTTCATGAATGGGTATAAAGTTCAAATAATACGCAATAGAAATAAGTCTAAGCGAAATATTTTTGTTAAAACAATATTTGATGCCGAAGTATAAATTATTATAATTCATTCTTATCCTTTGAAATACTAATATTTGATTACGGATGATTTATATCTATTGCATATTTTTATTCATGATTAGGATATTTAAGTCTATGTGAAGATGAATTGGAATAATGTGAAGTTAATAATACTGTTACTTTTGAAGATTTATATAGTACAAAAAAGCTGGATTTTAATAAATCAATTGATCAAAATACTAACCAATGAAAAGATCGAAATTGGGACACACAAAACCTATGATCTTATAATAAACTGAAAGATATACGAATTGAATCAATACTGTTATCGGATGATACGTATAGATCACATGACTATTGATGTTATTTAGAATTTTAATGATTCAATTTAAGAATCTGTAATATACTTTTAAATTATTTCAATTTAGTTATTATACTTTTGAATATTATATGTGATTTCTATCAAAGCATCGAGATAAACAATGATTGCATTTATGTAAATATTTAATTCGATTACATGGGACATCTATTGATATGATTTTGATATCACATCTAAATCTAGTCAACCATAAACTATGGATTCGAGTTGAATTTACTTCTAATAATTAAAAAAACGAATCTATCTTATTTTCGTATCTGCCTTTCATTTCATCCCAATTCCATCAACATTCAAATGTTTCAATCTAAAATAAAAGAATTCCTTTAAATTTCAAAAAGAAACTTGAAAATCTATTCTCTACATACTGGAAAAAACATAGTTAGATACATCATTAATCTGTTTTTACTCAGCACAATTGTTAAAATTTATAAATCATCAAATAAAATCTATTTTTTTCCTTCTCGAATATAGTTTGTGCCAAACACTTTTAAGGCAAGGCCTTGATTCATCTATTAATTAGACGCATCTCATTTGAATTTGACTTCATCGACCTCAAGTATACTTATTCAATATATAAAAACCGAAGGTTAAAAACTAAAATATTCATTTTTTATTTTATTTTATAAAAGCAGGTTAATATAAACATTGACATTTATAATTATTGCTTTTAAGCAAATAATATATAGGAAATACTTGTATTTATAGGATGACAACAATTTAAAGTTCTTCTATCATTCATTATTTTCTATCAGATCGTCTAGAACAAAGAAATCAATCATGTTATTTCGTTCAATATTTATTATTACTGTTCTTATTGGTCTTATATTTTTTGTTTTTGTTCAATCTGAACAATCAAGTTCGGTATCTTCTGATCGTTTAAAATCAAAACTTCCATCAATTGTTGGTCCAGAAGCATCTCAATGGCTTTCAACGCGTAATATTCCATCACGTCGTTGGCGTCGTCCCCATGTAAGCCAACCATCGGCAGAAGTCGATCAAGCTTATAAACAATTACAATCACTCAATGACAATGGTATTCGTCAATTTGATACACAATCATTTGAAGGTGTTTCAATGGAAGTTATATTCGAAATGGTTTACAAGCAACAGAATAATGCTGCTTCTCGTTAACTGTCTTCTTTTATGTGAATGTTCGTTCAATTCATATATTTTAAACACTAATAAAAAAAACAAAATTTCGAATTTCTTTGAAAACAAATAAAGATACGTCTTTTCTGATCTCAATTTTAGTCTCTCTTTTTGTTTTTAATATTAAATGTTATCTAGATCATAAATTGATGATGCAATTTATTCTCACCTTAAGATATGAATCGTATGTCAATAAAAATTGATTTGCAAACATGTTAATTTCTTGTTGAAAATGAACACCAATATCTTTATCAATATTTAGATACAAAATAAACAAACAAATAAATAAAATAAGATATTTTCATTTTCTCCTATTACATTTAAATATGAACACATACACATTCAACGGATAGTCAAGAACAATTAGGTCAAATTTTTGACGTAAGAGAAGTGGAGGAAAAAAACAAACGGGCAAAGTTGATTATCCCTGTTGGATAAGAAGATTACGCTTCACTTATTTTGAAAAGCAGAAAACAATTTTCTCACATATACATATAAAATATGTTTTTTTCCTTCTCGAAAACATACTTCTGTCCATGTTTGATGTCAGAAAATCAAGTTCATCCATATGTGTTTTTGTGTCAAATAAACGAACCGAATAAAGTCTCATTTGGGATTGTCTTACGTATAGAATTGCTCATTTATTATCAGAAAGAATTTTTAACAAAATTGATCGGTATGTCTTTTTAATCGAGGTTCCACTACATTTAATATTCGATTTAACAAAACAAAACAAAAAGACTTTGTCACGAATCGCTAAGCTCTCTCAAATAAATTTGTCGGCGCCGACAGTAATGTTGAATATAAAACGTTAATCTCATGTCACCTACCATCTTTTCAATTTAAATAAACAAACAAAACAGAAAAAAAAAGCAAATGAATTGCCTAAAGCACGCTCGCGCAATAATGTCGGTCGGTCTTTCTTTTACAGATACAAATCGCGCTCAAGACGTGTCATCACACCTTGTCAATTTTCTTAAGAGAAAAAACAAAGAAAACAAAATGTGTGGGAAAATAATGCTAAATATATACATATACAATTAACACACGAACAGAAAAAATGCTAATTTTTTCATTGCTTCTTATGTCATAAACTTGATTTAATCAAAATTAGAATATCTTCATAGAAGATTGTCTTTTTCGAATAAAATCATAGTTTCTATAAATTCAAGATTATCACAAGTTATGAATATTGAGTTGTTTTTATCGCTCAGGAGAGGAAAAATACTGGGCGCATTTCTTAAGTGAAAAATTCTCGTATGAGAGCTTCTCTGTATACACTGTAAATTTTTTTGAAATTCTAGAAATGTCTTGACTACGTTCAACGATTTTTAAATTTTATAATTCATCAGTTGATTTTCGCGAATCTATGAACTCAAATTTATTTCCCAGCAGAAAACTCTATAACTTATTTTCTAGTTTACAGCGTAAGAAAAGTGTATATCTCCTGCTGTTTTCTTGGACACGCGCTTCGTTTATTTACAAGTGCTAATTATAATTTTTCTCTCTTTTTCTTTTCTCTCTCTCTCTCTCACTCTTCTTTAACATTCTATCCTCCAATCATTTTAGATATTCATTTCGCTTCTAATATCGACAAGGAAAGGCATAATCATGGAAGAACATCAACTAGAAACAATGCTTTCTATTGAAAGAATATGTTATTCAACAAAATTTATTAAATCTCATCCAGACCGAAGAATTATTGCACTTGGTCTTCATAAAGTTTGTAAATGTTAATTTCGAAATAGAATTTTTATTTTATTTTTTTCAGTTAAGTGATGATGAAAAAATGTCAGATGATGTCTTTGCATTAACAATGAATATATTTGATAGATTTATTTTAAAATATTCCGCAATAATGAATGCTCATTATTGTCAATTAATTGCTTTATCATGTTATAATTTAGCTAAAAAACTTCGTAGTAATATTTCAATTAATAATGAAAATGAACAAACATCATTAATACTTTTAAATCAAAATTACACCGATGAAGAAATATTTGTAAGTACTCGAGATTAAAATTTTTTTTATTAAGACGATCAATATTTTAGGATGCAGAGCAACTTATTGTCGAAACATTAGACTGGGATCTATCAACTGTCGTTCCACATGATTATATTCATTTAATATTTCAATATATTCCATTAACTGAAAATGATAAAGCTAAAATTCGTTTACATGTCAATACTCTTCTATCAATTACAATATGTGGTATGTAGAAAAAGAAAACTATCGAAATAATAAACTGATCATTTTTTGCTTGTCTTTTATAGAATTGAATACATTAACAATATTTCCGAGTATATTATGTTGTGCATCTATCAGAGTAGCAATAAATGGACTTTCGATAATTGATATTCATTACAATGATGAATTAATAATGAAAACTATTCATTGTACTAATCAGGAACTTATTAAAATTCAACAAATAATTGAACAAATATTTCAATCATATGTACCGAAAAAGGTTCCAGCGACAAAACGTCCTTGTTTAGCACAGATTAATACAAGCAATAAGACACATTCATCAAGCCCGCGTGTTAAATAAAAATTTGATTTTTTTATTCCTATTTTTTTCGTCTTAAATTTTTATTTTGTACACGGATTATTTTGTTTTTCTAATAAATGAGCATTCAATTTTTGTGTTTAGATTGAAATAGATTATATCATTTAACGACATATTGATTCTTTTTTGCTTTTGAATGAAAAGATCTATTCATTTTTAATGAATTCATATGATGTAAGAACGATGATGAGAAATAAATCATTCTTTAGTGAATTCCGAATAAGAAAACAAAAATACTTGTTCAGATGATACAATCACTTAAGATTAATAAGAAATATCTTTTACTTCCGATTGATCAATGACTTCGATTACATCCTGGGGTGAGAGAGAGAGAGAGAGGGAAGAAGTGAAAGCATTTATTTGCAGAAGACAACATGCTGAGAATATTCAAAAGAACATTTCTGATCTCTTGCGTATGAAGAAAAGAATAACAATAGAAAAAATTGACATGGTAGCCGTTAAAAATTGAATAAGCATCAGTTACGTATATGTAGTTTCGATTTCTTCTTTTTTTTTCTGTTGTTTGAATTTGAGCCCATTAATTATGATAAACTTTTCTTTACACTTATGTTATCGATTATAAATATGAATGATTATTTATCTTATAGAAGAGAAATGAGAATAATATATGAAGATGAATTTGAAGTTCAAAAAATTAGTCTTATCAAATTTTTAATATTAAACAAATAGAACATATCATTGATAAGTAGTAATATCAAAATTCAATGGAAATATATATTCTCATATAAAATCAAAATTGCCATATGAAAAGAAACTGGAATAAAATATCGACTACGCTAGTATCCGAAAGTTCGAGAACTGCCGTTTTCATCAATCGAAAGAGAATATATTTAAACGTGTTGTTATACAACATTACACATAAGATGAGAACCTTTTAAAGTAAACAATTACAAAAAAACATGGATTTGCGACATTTGCCCGCGAATCATATAACTACTAATGGTAAGATAAGTGGTTGAGAGGGCTTTCATTGACATATTCTCACTACCACAGTTATATTGGGCCGTTATAAACAAGGATTAGACTCTTTTGCGATTTAAGATCTTCTCTACACATAGGACAGTAGATGACTTGAAGTCTTTTATTATGAAGGAGCTTTTACAAGATCAAGCTCAAAATCTATATATAGACGGGAAAACTTAATTCAAATACAACACGCATTTCCTGTCTTCCTGCAAATACCAGGCGAGCACCTCTCTGGGTTTCAAAAAATATATCTAGCAATGAATTTATATTCAAAAATAATTTTTTTGTTATTTGATCTTTAACATTAAATAATAAAAACTATAATTTTTTTCCATTCTTGAACGATTGTAAAAAAGTATTCACATTTATTCTATTTTTGCAATATTGAAATTAATATAAATTTAATTGATGTGTTTTTCTTTTTAAATATTGTCGAAATCTATTATTTTAATTTATTAGAGATTCGAATATATTGAATAAGATGAAAACTTGTATTCTTTACCGTAGTCTAATTTATTTGTTTACTAGAGATTGCATGGAATAATCATCATTATTATGATAAGCCATTAATTTCATAAAATAATTTGAACAAATGGTTAAAGTTCTTATAATTTAATTCGGATATTATGCATATAACAGCTGTTGTATCGCCATTTTGCTATAGGCTTCTTAATTCCTCTATTTTTATTAGATAATTTTATAAATGCTTAAGAGTTAAAGTTAAATTCATTTTCATTATAAATAAGTTTTTATTTAATTTTATAACAGTCTTAAATATTATAAATAGCATCGAAAGTAGCGCTTTCAATATTGATTGCTTATCAAGTTGACCATTGACAACACACATAAGATTTCTATTAATTTCTCTCCATGAATCTAACTGCTTTTATTTTCCTATGAAATATTTTTTCAACAAACTTAATAAAATAATAATAAAACAACAATCTACTTTATAATATAAATTCTTATTAAATATCCCTTCTAATAATCAAGATGTAGTGATTTCTATTGCGCAATTACTTTTAGAATTACTTTTTTCAGTAAAAAAAACTTTCCGGGGAAAATTTTGTCTATTAGTTAAATTTATGATTAAATAATCAATTATATTTACGTTTTTTTTAAAGATTTAATTACTTTAATAATGTCGTCGGAAGAAATTCCAACTCCGGATCTTTTTCTTAATAAATTTGAAGATGTATCATCATACAAAGATGTAAGACAATTTTCCAATTAAAATCTGAAAAAAATATTTATTTCTTAGGCTGCATGTACAAATGTAGTGAAATTAATTCGTTCGTCAAATGATTTATCACGTGCAAGTGATCATGATTTTCTAATGAGTTTTGCTCCACTTCGTCGTCGAATGGATACAGTTGCTGAAAAAATTTTACAAAAGTAAAAATTTTAATTTTGAAAATAATTTCTCATTTATTTCTTATTAGTATGTTTTCTATATTGAAACAACAAAATCTACGTTCAGATTTAGGTACTGTCTCATGGAAAGAAGCTGATCATGATGAAAAAATCGAAAAATTAATTGATATTAATGATATTCTATTTGAACGAATTGTAAATAATTTATTATCAAAAATGAAAAGAAAATTCTCTTTTGTATTTTCAGTCTTCTTCTCTTGATGAAGCAACAGGATTAAAAAAAATTAACACGGAAGTTAAATCACTTCATCCAACTTCACGTAATGTTCATGCAACATGGAATAAAGAAGTATAAATAAAATAAAAGTTTTTTTTAAATAAATTTTTATTTTTTTAGATTGGATTTGTTTTACAAGATAATACTTTATCATCGAAACAACAACAAAAACGTTCGTCAAGTACATTTTCAATAAATCATCAACTAACAAAAAATATTCCTAAACCACAACTAAAATTTTCGGATAAAGTTGATAATAATCCACAAAATCCATTTATTTCAAAAATTCGAGAAAAACCAAATGCTGTTACGCCATTACCAAGTGATTTTAATAAATATATTTATTTTGATAGAATTTCTATTGAATTTTCTTTATAGTGATGTTATCACAATTAGATCCTCATTCATATGACGTACTTATATTAGACAAACATCCGGAAATGTAAGTATTTATTGATTAAGAATAATGGAAAACTTTTGTTTTGTATTCCAGATTACTTCATCCATATTTTGATGAAATCGAAGCATTCGAACCGGATCAAAGTTTATTAAAAGAAGTTGAACCACAGGTAGAAATAATACATTTTCAGAATTGTTATTTATATAATCAACTAATTATACATAATATTAATATGTATACTGAACTTACACTGTTTTAGTTAGACGTAGGACAGTTCCATATTAGTTCCGTTCTTAGGAACTGTATAATAGTTCTTTGGAAAGAACTGAACTGTCTGAAAACTAGTTTTTTAGAGATAAAAACAAGTTTGAAACAGACCAGTTCCTCTAAAAGCACTATTGATACAGTTCAGTTCTATTCAAAGAACTATTGAGATAGTTCAGTTCTTTTGGCCAGTTCATCTGAACTTGGAACTATCCTACCCCTAGTTTTAGTTCGATGAACTCTACTAAAAAGCAATATAAATTAATTATGTAATAAATATACAATATGCTAGCCATTGGATACAAAATTTGTTTTATATATTCACTCTATTGAACTGATTTTTGCCCATGAAATGATAATAAATAGTCAGGTCTGTCGCGAACCGAGGGAATTATCCCCTCGCCCTCCCAAAGTTTGAATCTCGGTTGAATATTCTGATCTAAACTATTGTGGAACATTGACTGTCTAGACACGGGTGATTTTATTGTAAGGTACGACGGTTCCAAAAAAATAGAACCGAAAACCGAACTGGAACCGCTCTTTTCTCATTTCCACTGACCAGAACTGGATCGGAACCGCATTTTAAGCCCGATTGCGGGTAATTTTTGGAACCCAAACCGAACCGGAACTGTTTTTTGCTCATTTATACTGATTGGAAGCGCCGTACTCTATTTCCTTCCCAATCCCAATCCTCACGACAGTGCTTTACATAGTTGTATATTATATGTTTTATATCATGAAGAGTGAATTTCCATGAATAAATATTGTCCTATAATATATTAAGATATATTTTCTTTTAGTTACCAAAACCAATTGAAGAAACAAAATGTTTATTTGTCGATACAGTTGATAAACTTAAAATAATGATAGATCATATTGAACTTCAATCAGAATTAGCAATTGATTTAGAAGTATTTTTACTTGATTTTATTTTTTTTTGGTAATTCAAATATATTTTATTTTAGCATCATTCATATCGTTCATATCAAGGTTTTACATGTTTAATGCAAATTTCATCACGTACAGAAGATTTTCTAATTGATACAATTGCATTACGTGATGCACTCAATACTTTAAATAATGTTTTCACAAATCCAAATATTGTTAAAGTAAATTCTAGTTTTATTTAAATTTTATTTATATTCGAATATAATTTTTACAAAAAAAAGATATTTCATGGCGCAGATTCTGATATTGAATGGTTACAAAAAGATTTTGGCCTCTATGTTGTCAATATGTTTGATACACATCAAGCAGCACGAGAACTTAATTTACCAGCATTTTCACTTGCTTATCTATTAAAATCTTATTGTGATATAGATGCAAATAAACAATTTCAATTAGCTGATTGGAGAATAAGGTTATATTGAAAATATTCCTTTGCTTTTCGAAGATCATAATTATTATTTTAGACCATTACCAGAAGAATATCTTCGTTATGCTCGTGAAGATACACATTATCTTCTTTATATATACGATTTATTACGTAATCGTTTAGTACAAAAAAATCCACAAATTCTTAAATCAGTTTATGAAAAATCGAAAATGATTTGTCAAAAAGTAATATTAAAAATGATTTATTTTATTTTATTTTTTGTTTTATATATTAGCTTTATAAAAAACCATATTTTGATGATGATGCTTATCGAAATATTTATTTAAAATCACGTAAAACATTTAATATACGTCAATTAGCAGCTTTGAAATCTCTTTATTATTGGCGAGATAGAATTGCTCGCGATCAAGATGAATCAACTGGGTAAAATAATAATTTTTTTTTCTTGTCAATATAATTATTTACATTCTTATTTTCAAGATATGTATTACCTAATCATATGCTTCTTCAAATCTCAGATATTCTTCCAAGGTTTGTAATGAATTTTTCTAATAAATATTTCGATAATCTCCTTTTTTTAATTTCATTTAGAGAATCCCAAGGAGTTCGAGCTTGTTGTAATCCAGTACCATTACTGGTTCAACATCATTTACATGATATACATCAGATTATATTAAAAGCTCGAGATATACCGTTAATTGATGTAACGAATTTTTTCATTAATAAACTTTTGAAAAATCATTGTTTTTTTTTCTTAGGAACCAAAAGAACAGAAATCAGCACCATTAACATTACCTGCATTATATGATCCAGAAAATGTTCTTTATTGTCCACATGATACATCTCATCAAACAGAACAACAACAACAACAACAGGGATCAAATACAGATTCAACTAAAAAGATTCTTTCGAATGGTAAGTAAAGATTTTTTTTGATATGGAAATTTTCATAAAAATTTTATTTTTAAAGATCTCTCTTCTATTCTTGATGAAGCATTTATTGAAGAATCAAATAAACGTGATACATTAAATAGTTCATCATTACCAATTCAGATTAAAACCCAACTTTTGCCAATATGCAAATCTCGATCAAAAATATTAACGAACTTTTTTGATATGGTATTTATTTATGAGATATATGAATGTTAGAAGAATTAAGTTATATAGAGTAAAGTTTTCTACAACATCGTGCGGTATAGATAGTTATAGAAATGATGCATTCTACATTGTGATTTTGATAGTATTGTATTTTTCCAGACTTTTATTGGGCAGTGTTTTATCCAAGTTTCTTTTTTTGGATAGGCGCTGCCTATCAGTGCTTTGTCTAACGAGGGAATCTCCCGAGATGTTAAAAACCTTTTGAGCTGAAATTTTGTCCACAAGTAGAGGATATATAGACTAGAAAAAGCTTAAAAGGATATGTGCCCAAGTTAATGTTTATCTGAGATATCGACTATTTATTGTATTTGTCCTATAGGACCCTATCTATGCAGTAAAATCAAAGTTTGGAATTTAAGCCTGAAACATTGTCCACACTAGGACCTCAATCAGGCAAACTTGCTTACAAAGTTCCAGGAATTTCTGAAAGACTGTCTCTGAGATACAAGTATATTAACATAGGGACGCTTTCTCATGAATATTAGGTTTCACATGAATATTTTGACGGATTCATATCTCGGAGATAATCTGTCTAAAATTTCTGAAACTTTGTAAGCAAGCTTGCCTGATTGAGGTCCTAGTGTGGACAAAGTTTCAGGCCTAAATTTGAAACTTTGATTTTATTGCACAGATAGGACCCTATAGGACAAATACAATAAGTAGTCGATATCTCAGTTAAACATCAACTTGGGCACAAATCCTTTTAAGCTTTTTCTAGTCTATATATCCTCTACTTGTGGACAAAATTTCTGCTCAAAAGGTTTTTGACACCTCGGGAGGTTCCCTCGTAAGTCTCGCTTTTAGCGTGGAAGAATCAACATTTGTAGTAGCATTGATAGTACCTAGTAAATACCCATTATTATTTATCTGGTTGAGCAGCAAGACAGAACAAGTATTTTATCTTGTAAATTTTAAACTAGAAAAATTCAGATAAAACATTTGATAGGATGATCACCTAGTCTGTCTTTTAATTATTTCTAAATTCAATCTATATTTTAGTATATGCCTGAATCGTATCGAACAGGTGCATTAATTAAAACCAAACCATTATGGCAAGTTTATTATCCTGATCGAGATCCATCAAGTAATTATTTTTCAAAACAAAACTATCATTTCATTTACTATAAGAATATTTTTTCTAGTTATTGGAAAATCTATTCAACATGATAGTACTAATCAAAATGGTACAATTAGTAAAGAAAAATCTACTGATGATATTGAATTAATTATGCTTAACAAAAACGTAAAACAAAAGAAGAATTCTTAAGTTAAAATAAATATTTTTGTATTTTTCATATTTTAGCCATCAGCTACAAAACGTAAACGAAAAACTGCTAGTGATGAAAATATGAATAATAAAACGAAAAATAAAAAATATCGACGTGGTTGTGTTGCTGATGAAGTACCATCAACAATTTTATTAGATGATAATGATGAGGATGATGAAGAACCAGGAGAAATTCTCGATGATATCAATGAATATAAACAACAAACATCATTTAAACCATTTAATTACGAAATTGAAATGCTTTCAAACAGTTAGTTGACAAGAAAAAAGAAAAGATTTTTATTAATAAATTGAATTTCTTTTTTATAGAAAAATTCAAACGACCAGCTGATGATGAAGAGATTTACGAACCAAATCGTCCAAAGAAATCTTCAAAAGCTAAAGTAAGTTCTATATATACATATATATGTATTCATACATGATGTTTTAATTAATAGACGGCAAAGCGACCTGGTGCTCAACAGACAAATAAATCTATATCATATCCTTTTCCAAAAAAAACATAGATTTACCTTATTGTTTCTTGTTTTTTTTCGATGTTTTGTTGTTTATTAAAAGATGGAATAAATTAAAAAGAAAACAAATCACTAAAAAGAATATAGAACATCTATTTGATATTTTAAAAGTAATTTTATTGATAGACAAGAAATAATTGTAAGAGAAAATTTAGTGACGATAATAATAACGAATGAAAATTCTATTTAATTCCACGTTTCGACTATCTAAGTAGCCATTATTCAACAAACCACAAAACAAAATCTGTCAGAGAATATATTAATTTCTAGAATAAATACAGTATACCGCTATCTTTTGCCTTTCGAAAAGCAGAAAATGATCTATCTAAGAAGCTAAAAGTGTTTTTTAATATCAAACTATGGTTTAAGCTATATAGGCCGTAATAAAATAATAAGAAAGTTTAGCATTATTTATATTTTATATTTTAGTGTACAAAATTAAACATAGATAAATACATTTACTGAACATTTTTATAAATATATATTTTTGTCATCCGACCTAATAGCTTTCAATCTATTTTGGTTCGATAATATATGCTTGTCCATATTAGAAGATTTTAAAGGAGCATTCAAATCTATTTTTAATTCAGTTGACACTAATTCTGTTGTCATATAGTTTCGCATGTAATTCTCTTTCTCGTAGAGAGGAGTCCAGTAATCATAAATTGTTTGCTTGTATTTCCACAGGGTCAAAAAAACATTGAAAACTAATTTTTCACGTTTTTATTTGTTTTTCCAATAAATGTGAAGAAAATGGATTTCTACGAGAAAGAGCTAAGCGAGTCCTCGGACGAGCATTACTTGTTTACTAAATGCTTCGTATGTGAAAAAACAGATTCAACAGAAGCATAATGAGTGATTGTTAAATCTTCATCGGTACATACATTTTATCACATGTATACTTTAAGTTATTTAATATAGTACTAAATGATTATTTTAAGAAGATAGAGCAAATAATAATATTTCTGAAGTATCTCGCTATAGATATCTATCAATGTGAAATCGATTATTATAATAAGTTTTCTGAAACAATTGATATATTTTTCTATATTATTTATTTAAAATAAAAAACAATGATAACCCTATAAATTAATTCATTCCAGAATAAAATCGTCCTCGATCTTGATATGCTATTCCGTAATGTCCTGTTCCAGGTGGCCAGTGATAATTCGAACCTAAAATATAATAATCAGTTTTACTTCTAATACAATATTCTCGAAGAAAAAAATCAACAGCTGCATCAGGAGCCGGACGATAGGATGATATATGTGTCCAAAACTCTTTTGCACGTTTTGTTGTTAAACCCATTCCATGTGCACACCATCCATAACCTTTAGTACTTAAAAGGGTATTATTTGGAAATTTTGTTACTAATGAAATGTTATTATTCGAGAATTTTGGTCCACATATACCTAAATAAAATACACCATGATGAAGTTGTATTTCTGGATTTTGCATTATATCTTGTAATATATTAATATAATTTGGTAAGGAAAATTTTGATGGTTCAACAAAATTAACATCATCTTCAAATACAAGTGACCATTCTAAATCACCATTTTTCGAATATTTTGGAATTTCATATGTCCATACATTTATAAATGATAATAAATTTGATGAAAATTTTTTTAATACACTTGATGATGATGTATGAATACGAGAATCATTTAATGGAATAGATTTAAAGCAATATATATTAACATAATTTGGAAATACTCGTTCAATATTTTCTTTTGTTATATTAAAACGTAATGAAATACAACTAGACGTTATTATAAATACATTGATTCGTGTCGATGTATGATTTTGTATAATTTTAATATCTATTAAATTTCTTTGCGAGTAACAAGTACGAAATGAGAAATAAATTAAAACTAATATTAATAATATTAATGTAAGGGATTTTTCGAATTTTTGTATTGTAAATTTATCCTATATATAAATACAAAAATATATAAATACTTCACTATTCTACTGTCCGTTTCAAAAAAAAAAAGCGGGTGAGTATTTTTCGAGAATTTTTTGATAGGAACAAGATAGAGAGTTGCGGGTTTCACCCTTAGAAAAAGCAGATGAAGATGCATCAAAACATATCTCGGAAGATTTCTCTAACTGCTTCCTAAAGACTGCCAGTCAGATGTTTAGAAGAAACTGCCTTTTTCTCGCACGCGAAAAAATACGATTTTTTATCAAAACATCCCAGAAACTTCTATTTTTTGTACGAAAAATGGGTTACTAGTGTTTTTTACCAGTGAAAGATTAAATCAGTAGTAATCATGAGGAAAATCTTCACATAGTTTTGTAGTTCTTGATCTGGCGATTCTACAACACTCCCGAAAATGAACGAACTAATGTGGCGTTAATGCGAGACATACTGTTTATCCAAGATTTTCCTATAATAGCCTTTGGAAGTAGTTAGAGAAATCTTCACATATAAGTTTTGATGCACCTTCATCTGCTCTTTCTAACGGTGAAAACCACAGCTCTTTATCTTGTTCCTACCAAAAATTATTCGAAAAATACCCACCCGCCTTTTTTGTTGAAATGGACAGTAGTATTGCTTTCTTTTAGGTAAAATCGATAACAATAAATAGTTTATCTTGGATTTCTTGTTATTTTATTCGAAACTTTGAGGATATAACAAGTAGTTATTCATGTTTTAACACAACAGTATGGCATTGTAAAAATAATCTTATATACTAACCGTGTTTAACATTTGTGAGAGACGGATGAATATGTAATTCAGTTACTTTCAATTATCGTTCTAGGTATAATTCTTTTCAAAAGAATTTTGAGTTCATTGTAGTTACGATTAGAAAGAAATCACGATATATAAAAAATATTATACTCCTTATGTTGATTGTTTTATTGATTGATATAGAACAGAAAAAAAGGTGGTGACAAGGATGTAACAAAAAATGAGAGAACGAAGCAAATCTATGATTTTTATTAACGGTAGTCAATACAAAATCCTTTCTAACCCAGCAGGGAGAAAAAAAGAAATCTCATCTACTTCAAAACTTTTTTCAAGTACGTCTGGAATAAAATAAAAGAAAGGAAAGTACCAGTCAAGTTGATTGAATTCTTGTTTTTCCCCTTTGGTTCTACTTCTTCTGATATATATATTGATCATTAATATGAAATGAAATGACCTACGAGAATCCGAACGTGTTATTTTTTCTTATTATATTTCTAGAACTTGTTAGATAGGATCTTTGGCTAATTGTAAGCAAATATATCATTTGTATCACGCACAATAAACTCTGCTTATTTGAAAAATACTGTTAAATAATTTTTATATTATATTGTTATAAAGAATTTATTCTCTTACAAATTAGGAATTACGATAAGCTGTAGATAAGAATCTCAGACATCTTTATATACAATGATATTTCTTTGAAAACTTTCTTTTTCAAATCTTGATATTTAAACAGTATTGCCACCTGTTCTGCTTTTTAGAATTTTTATCTTTGATGTTTTCAATGAATACTCTCAATATTTTAACCGATCTTTTTGTCAAAAAAATCACATAAGACAAGGTCAGATTGTAAGATGTAATCAACTCTAGATATTATTATTTACTCTTACTTCATCGCCAAATTTTAAAAACCTCTTATGTTTTCTATTTTCATTACCTTGTCGTAATGCTTCTGTTGAATCTGTTTTTT